ATGAATTTTTATTTTTGTTAGAAAATGTAACTTTGTAAAATCATTATAAAACACATACTCAAATTTGGTGAACTTGTTCAGTGTACCGTATAGATGCCCCCATTAAAAGGAATGTAGCTAGTTTAGAAGGACCCTGTATTTATTATAATACATTTCTTTAAAGGTGACCCTTTAAGGCCGGGGGGAAATGGTGCCGCCATAATATAATCTTTTCTATTTTTAAACTTTCGCGCCTAATCTAAGGTTTTTCTTTTTTTTTTTTTTTTTTAATCACATAAGTATCGGTNACAAGGTCACGCCGCCGACGCCGCCGCCGCCGAGGTCAAAAAGTCGGCGCGCCGCCGCCGGCCAATTGTATATCGGCGCCCACCTCTAGTCTCAATCGAATCAAAGGCCTTCTCATAGTCCACGAACGCCAAGCATAGTGGCAAGTTATACTCCTCAGACTTCTGTATAACCTGCCGCAGCGTATGGATGTGGTCTATGGTACTATAACCTTTCCGGAAACCGGCTTGTTCGGGAGGCTGTAATACCCCAAAAATACCCCAGTGCCTGAAGACGAAAGTCTACAACCAATGTGTGTTACCTGTGATGACTTATGGCTCGGAAACGTGGCCCCTCACTATAGGCCTTATACAGAAGCTCAAAGTTGGAATGGAGGCCACGTACCGGAAAACGCAGCGTGGGACGTCCACCCACAAGGTGGACCGATGACCTGATAAAGGTAGCGGGAAGGCGCTGGATGCAGGCCGCTACCAACCGTGCGATGTGGAAGTCATTGGGGGAGGCCTATGTTCAGCAGTGGACGTCCTGTGGCTGAAATGATGATGATGAAATAGTCTCACTTTAGTGTGGGTTACTACTTAGGTCCAATTAGAGGCGTTGTTGGACCACATCACGCTCATCTCTAATTTTATTTTAAAATCAACAATGTCTAATTTCTCACTAGTACGGGATTTGGAAACAACCTTAATGATGTTTCGAGTCGGTTACATGAGTCGTAGTAGTGAGAATTTAGTAAAAATGCAATATGAAAGTTTAAAAATAGTAAATCAAAACAATGTCGTTCCAAATCGGGAACAATCATAGTTACAACATATTGATTAATATGTCACAGGCAGTTTATCTTACACCAGTTCGCTTGTTCGTGCTATAGAAGTGGCGCATGCGCAGACGTGTGGAATACTTTGTCGCTGGCAAAAACAATTCTCACGGGGCTAATCTTGTAACTCCCATTAGACAATGCAGCAAATCACCGGTTCTGTTGCACTGCACATATTTTCTCTGTTGCCGGCTGAACAGCGAGGAAAGTAGGCTGGCCATTTTTGATGGTTTTAAGGGAATACGGACTGCTTTGGTACTGTTTGGAAAAGCGACGTTTGACAGATCGGAAGCCGCAAAAGGATTGACGTCGAAGAAATCTAGTAGGCCACGGCTGACTTCAATTGTTTTCTTAAACTTAAAACGCTTGGATATTTATTGATGTTTTGCTATTATTTTGTCTGATTTAGTAGCATGATGATATTTTATAACGACTCATGTGTATTCTATAACAACTCATGTATTAGCTTTTGATGGTTTTAAGGGAATACGGACTGCTTTGGTACTGTTTGGAAAGGCGACGTTTGACAGAACGGAAGCCGCAAAAGGATTGATGAAGGAGAAATCTAGTAGGCCACGGCTGACTTCAATTGTTTTCCAAACACACATGATCACACACTTGGATAAAATGTATTGATGTTTTTGCTATTTTTTTGTCTGATTTAGTAGCATGATTATTTATATTTTATAACGAATCATGTGTATTCTAATACAACTCATGTATTAGCGTTTGAAAAAAAATCTTTTGAATAAAAACATTTATAAGTTGTCCGTTTAAAACGTATCCTTAATGGATAAATCAGGTTCATCTCCATCGACAGTCGTCGGATCTTTACATACCAGTCTAATGCTACTTTAACTTGCTAATACTCTAGGCTAAGTAAGACATATACACTTTAGACACCTTTATTTTTTTAAGGATTTCATTTCTGATTCAGTCTCAGAAATAAATACTAGAAAGTTCATTGAATGCTGAGCCATTGGGTTTTCATGAGACCTATACGCACTAGCATGTAAATTCCAAAATATGACATTACTTGCAAAGGCCAACGCACATTCATTGAAGACTTTCCTCTTGAATAATTATTTACATTATTCAAACAAACATAAATAATACATTGTGTTTTAAAAAGAAAACGCAATGACTTGGATGACAATCATATTTTTTGACAAAGTAACATTTAAATTAGGCACCGCATGTCAGTATTTTAATACTCACTATTTTGTTAGCCCACAATTATTCTTAAAGATTGTAAATACGAGTAATGTTTCCACCAAAGAGAGTTATAAAAAGTCAAATTGTGTCGAAGTTAGTTAACGAAAATTTTGGAGTTTAGAATGGAACTATCCCAAAAAGTCCAGTAAATTGAGACACCCTTCTTCGAACACCTTGTTCTTATCACCAGCTAAAAGGCTGCGGCAATGAATTTTAGGTGCGCACTAAGAAAATATAAAGCATTTTGAGACCGTAAATATAACGTTACGGTTTTATAGTTTACTCGCTTAATCGACCAGTTTTATGGACAGTTATCCATTACAATAGAAATCGTGACAGTTTTACGCAAATTCCAGAATTACGTAGGTAAGGTGTCATTTTAGTGCTTAGCATTAGTGCAAAATGTTACTCGAACGTTTTTGCCATGTAAAAATATCCGCAATAAACAGCTACTTGCTGAGAAATCAATAATGAGCTTGATAAATTAATTAGCGATATATTTTTTTATACCGCCAGCACATATTTATTAATTGATATAAATATTAGCTGACAGCGTAATAAGGTGTTGATAGATGAGCAGTATTTGTAAAGTAAATATCTCTATCACTGTTAGTAGTAAACATCTTTTCTATATAGTCAAGAGTAAATTAAAGATTTCCAAGTAAATACAGAAATATTTAATACCGAAGTGCGTAACCATGTTTAACGCACCGCGGAGCGTATTTTTGTAAATATTGTAAAGCAAACTCTAGTAAATGGAGCGAGCAGAATTGATCTCTTAGCCTTAACAAATAGAGACCACGTCATTGTGGTACCGGTTACTTTACCGGTATCCCGGCATGATGCGACGAACATGCTCCGAAAAGTTTGCATAAGTAATTCTGATTTTGTTTTCAACTTTCTCTTTCATATTGTACACATTGGACATGCCCTTGCATTTGTTTTAATTAATTCTGTTACAATTATACGTTGGCGTCTGACAAGACAGTGAGTTGATTAATTTTTTGATTTATTAATATAAAGTGAATTGAATTTGACTGCATAATATGAGAGTCAGTTCGCGAAAATGTCATTAAGTTTCACTTTGATCTTGGCGAAAAGGCAGAAAAGCGATAAATGTCATTATGAACTGCATAAAATAATGAATTATGACGAAAACTGTACATCAAACTTCAAGTAACGTAAGCACGATCAGCAAATACTAACCGATAAATGAAATGCAACCATTTCGCTGCGCAAACGGCTACAGCAACCGTAATGGCTTCAAATCGCTTTGATTATGCTCATTCAGAAATCCTGTATAGTTCAGGTGCAAGTAGGCCCGAACCACCAAATTAGGTGTGAAACTGCCTCAGATAGAACATTACACGCTCTGCGGTCGTTTTTGATACTCACAAATTTCAGACGACAGACGTGCGTAATGGCCTGTCCGAGCCCAAGATTGAATAGCGGTACTCGGCGCAACCACAGGGCGAATATGAATCGGAAAAATTGCATAGAAATTTAAATAAACGCACTTAGATACGCGCCAGGTAACGGGACAGCATGCTGGATAATCAAACACTGTAAGCCTCGTTAGCTACAACTAATTAACTTTATTAGAATATGAATTCTCAGCCAATAAAAGCATCCTTTAGGCTTCCGTATGTCATTACCGTTACGAACTTACGATGCAATAACGAGGGACAGGCAAGGAAATCATAAAATTAATTCGCCTCTAAATCGATGCAAAATTGCAAAATCAATGTAACCATCAAAGTAAACTGTAAGTTGGATGTTTGTAACAGGTAATAATTCCGAGAGTGCCAGCTATCACACGTTACGACTGGCTAATGGCTTTAAGTATCGTAGCAATTTCCTAAGACAGTTGGCTATAGATGCAGCCGGTGCAGAATCGGATGCAGCGTAGGGCGGGCTTAAGTAGGCGCGCCGTGCGGCGGCTGCGGGCTGCGGCGCTCGCGCAGTCCCGCTCGCATCGTCGCCGCGGCCGCACGTTCGCTGCGATGAACCGCCCGCTCGCCACGCTCCTCGCGCTCGCCGCCCTCGCGGCCCTCGTCGCCGCAGAGCCCCCGCGCCCCCGCCTCTTAGACTTCAACCCCTTCGCATGGCTCCCCAGCAACAGGAACAGATCGCCATCCATCATGGACTACTTCTTCCCCCCGTCGCGCACCCCAAAACAATCCAGTCTGGAACCGCCCGCTGACCGGAAACCACCACCCACCGTCCCCGAAACGACCCTCGATAACACACCCGCACCTACCACCATCGAAGAACGGTCAACAACCTACTCCAGAAAAGTCTCCACCAAAACAAAATCCACCCTCCCCGTGACCGCGACCTCCCCGCCGAAAACTAAAAAACCCTCTCGCAAACCCATCCCAGTCGAGACTACCATTGAGGCCAAAACAACTCTAACAACCAGAATTGAAACTCCACCCCCGACGGTTAGGGTTACAACTGTTTCGTCGGCGTATCGTCCCACGAAGCATTATTCTATTCGGCCGGTGTTGAGGACGGAGACGCCGACCGTTCAAGATACTGAGACAACGAGTAGCGATAGTACGGAGACCGTTTCGGAGTTTGACACCGCTGGTACAACGGTGGAGGATGCGAAAGAGACAGTGCCGACGCTGAGTACTGCTGAAGATCAGCGGTCAACGGACGCGGGGACTTTGAGCACGGCCACCGTGGAGTCGACCACCCCGACCGAAACCACGGACGCCGCCGACAGCCGCGAGGGCTATCTTCCGCTACGTGACAAACCTCAGCAGACACACGTCAAAATCAACGATCAAACAAAGAAAGAGGTCAGTGGTTTCATACAAATACTATCCCCCAGCGTTGTTTTTCTTAAACGGTTACAGTCTAATAGCCGCGACTTTCTTAGCTCCTGTTACTGTATTTTCTCAGAGCGCTCGTAAATTTCTTTCGATCGACGCAAACGCATTCGCCACACATAAATAATAAGTCGTCCGATGGTAAAAAGCAATTTTCCATAGCAAACGTCGGTGCGTTGAGGGGTGTAGGTACATAATTTTCTACTAATTAGACTTAAGAAAGGTTAAAGTGCATTCATCACTTCGATTGCGTTCCCACATTACGCGTGTAGATCGATGTAAATTATTTGCTTCTTGCAAGCTTTTATTAGCAGCGATATTAAATGTTCAAGAACTGTGAAAAAGTTCTGCGTAAAAACACGACAGTATTTCACGCCCCGTGGTCGCAGTGGTTAATTTTGTAAGTATGTACCTACACACAATTAGTGAGCACATGTTTATTTATGTTTTATGCATTATGTCATCGAGTGCTCTGTTCAGCAATCCCAAATTTAAGCAATTGCATCTTTCTCTTAATAGCAAAAGATAACACGTTTGGCTAGAATTTAAGTAGTTAATTATGTAAAGTAGGAACTCAATGTAACTTTTATTTAAAAATTAGACATCAAACAGGTCATAAAATTGTTCAAACCCTTTTTATATTAACGAAATTTTCTAAATTTCATACAATTCCGTACAAGACGGAAGTAATATTTCTATGACACCGTCAAAACTCTTATAAATCTCCCGAGGAACCTATTCACACATACTGCAAACATGAAAATAGTGCTTTGCATAATCCCATTACTTTAAAATCGCACAAAAAACATGCAACAATAGAATCCATTAGTTTTATGAGTATTACAAAAAGCGGAGCAATTATCAGGCACTATTACCCATTTTCAGTCTTAAGCACCGGACACAAAACAAAAAGTGAGAAACAAAATGAAATATGTATTAGTTGCGTAAAGGGAAACCAGGGATGTTATATGCGATGTAGTTTTCACACCTTACATTTACGTGTTTTTTGTTTTGTTAATTGCCAGTACAAATTAACAAGATCGTTAACAAATTCAACATCTAATCGCGCTTTAGCATTATAAACTGATCGCAGTACAATAATGATGATTTATTTCTTCAAAAATGGATCAGCGGATATCTCGAGAGGTATCATTACCTGGTTGACTGCATTAGTTGTTCAATTTCTATTTTCTCAGCTTACTCTTCCGAGGGCAAAGCAAAAAGCACTAGATCATCTAAAATGCGTTACTTTCCTGTCATTAGTGAGTTTGTGGTCTCAACCACAGTGGCGGAAGTCCGCAAAATTTTTGGACAGAAACAAATTTAGCTTAGTTTAGTAGACGCTATTCACTAAGAAAACTTTCACTCTTATACAGTCAATCTATCATAGGTAACGGATGGTCAGACATTTTCTAAAGCCGACCGATCTTTTGTTGAGGGCATTAGCTTTGTCGCTAATTACTATCTGTATTTGTCTTTGAAATGACTGAAATTTCTCAGCCAGTTATCGTTTCGGCTGCTGGAGACATTTTTGTGACGTAAGTTAGTAATTATTTATTACTTTAAGAAGATTCGTACAAAGATTTTAATGATTAAAAGCAAGTTATAATCATTGCGATCATTATTTACGCGTTGTTTATTTAGTTACATAAATAAGTGTGATAAATTTTATAGCCGTTATAATATCACGGTCGCTTCTAAATATAACTGGATACTCGACGGTACTAAATAACTATAATCACTACCGTTATTTATAAAATCAAATGTTTATTCTCCATAGGAAATCTGATAGATAAATTATTATTTTGCACAGATGTATCGGTGACTCGGTGAGTTAAAACTATAGATGGATATTCAGTTAAAGTAATGACCGTCGTTCCCATGAAGTCTGTAAGAGGCGATCTTCGGCAGTTGAACCATAAATTTGTCTGTGCGCAGGCGCCGGCTTGAAGTAACGGGCAGTAACAAGGAAAAGGCAGAAGGCTTGCTTTATACTAACAATTACCATTATAAGAAATTGCAATGCAGTGGCAATCTGGCCCCACTTAACCGTCGAACCTTTCTGGTTTCTGATGTAAGTTGCACGCGTTGCGTGTGCACTGAAAAGCATGGTCTGGGCCTTCTGTCTTCTATTTTTGTAATATCTAACTAACGGACTTGCGGCTAGTATGGCCAACCGGACTGCATGTTACACGTTTTTGCACAACTCTACCCTTTATGTCTAATCCAATAAGATGCTGGGAACTCGGCGCCGGTTGGCTACACGCTACCGTATTTTAGCGGTCTGGATCATTTGCATTAACAATGTCATATTGCATCGATTTATGATTTTATTACATCATTACATCACGCGAGCCAATTATTCCAGTTTATCGATGTTCTCGTTAATTCAGTGATATTGAAATTACTTCGCGTAGTTCATTCACAGGACGTGTGTACAGCAAAGGCAGTTTGATATGCGTTGCTAATACCGTTAGAAGTTCCTGGCATTTTAATAGAATCGCTTTTTGAAATCTTGGAATTCGTTGCTATTAGAAAAAAGGTCGAATGTCTGGAATCAGTTGTCATGCAGTCAGTTAATTTGTGAAAACAAAAATTTTAGAAATTAAATCACCTTGTTAATTTTAATCAAATCGTAACAAATTTCACTTTCGCGAGTTGTGGCAAATACTCAAGGTTTGCATTGATACTTCGTGCCTAATTAATCAGTACGCATTACGGTTAGAAAGTGGATAGATAGTCGGATCTGTTCGATGGCCCGAAGAGAAAGGGGCGAACCTTAGGAACGTAACCTAAGAACTAGGTTGGTACGTAGTAATCAAATGTACTTCGGTTGAAAGTGTTTCACGACAGAAATAGTCCTCTAAACATAGCTCGCGATAAGAAATGCAGGGATAAATAAGTGTCAAGAATCGACTCTATGGGAATAAAAATGTTCTCATCTCAATGCATCCTTCAGATCAGCACGGAGATTGTCCACAAGTTGCACTTATCTACCATCTAAGAATAAAATAAAGTGTTAATTAAATCGACAAGATCACACTATAGGTGTGCCGATATCAGCAGGTTGTTAGGTTGTTACGATCCACACACAGTTTGCAGTTTAAATGAAATATTTTCCTATTGCATAACTTTCATTTCAACGTGTATCAAATCAAAGTCATTCTTCGTGACATTTTCATTAAAATCAATTACTAAAAAGCGTACTTCATACTGGATTCCTTTTATTTTTTTGTCGGTGTTAAATAATATATTGCATAAGTTTTTTGTAAATGGCAGTTACGGTGTTATCTCAAGTGTAAAATTGAATTATCGCAGAGTCGTATTATGAATGGACTGGCCTCGTGGTCTCATTCGTGATTCATTGTTACATACTATTAATCTCACTCAACTAAAATAGTATTATGTACGTTTTATCTAAATCATAATGTCTTTATGATGATTTCATACAAACGCTTTATAATTAAAACGCGTTTGGGGTAATATCTGAAGCAGTTACAAAGGAACGTATAAAAATTGAATATTTTTAGATTAAGTATTACGGTACCACTCTTGGATTACTTCGAAGCTGGTGACCCAAATGCCATGGTTTCACCTCATGGTTTCGTTGGTTAAATTAAGTCCGCTAAAGAGATTAACAAAAACTCGCAGTGAAGAAAAGAAGTGGGCTTTAGGTTTAATGAAAATAAACACAACAGGTATACTTTTCTGTAAAAAGGTATACCTTTGATCGACGCTAAATTTTCTCAACTTTTTTGTAATAAGCAACAAACATAGTGCTTCCCATGGAAAACAGATGACGAAAATCATAGGAAAAAATTATTTTAGAATGCTCGCCGTGCATTGCTGCACACGGTTACTGACTTGAAACAAATTGTCAACAACGCTGAGAAAAAGTAAGTAGTTTAAACTTTCGCTTATTCCAAATTAGTGTACACGTAAATCACCATATGGTGACAATGACCCAGTGCCGCGTGAAAATTGTGGCACCAATATGTGCGCGCACTGAATGTAGTGTCACGAAACTGGATCAACTTAAAGACTACGGAAAATGATTGATAGAAATGATCCCCAATCATCCATTTGATCATAAGCATCATGCATTTAATAGCTGGAGAGCAATTCAGTTTCATGATATGTAATTCTGTGACTTATTTCTTTAAGTAGATATACATATGTATGTGCGACAGTTTTGATATACTAAACATGGAATAAAACCATCTTGATCGAGACTCGCCATCGACTTAGTTTTTGATTGAGGAAATTATAGTGACTGGCAAGTAGTACTGTTGGCACTCTATATTGTATATGAATATTAATGAAACGGGTCAACTACTTAATGACTATCCATAGAATGTAGTGCAATGCAAAGCTGGCAATTATAAGGTCTAATGACACATAATGTACCACTTGCATGGAATGAGGCGCCGCCGAAGGGTGGCGGATGGGAATCATGCAAAACTAACGAAGTAGCTAGTAAGTACATGATATGCAGCGAATGTCAAGTGTCATGGTGAAAGGTGCATCACTATTGCGGTAAACGTTAGGTTGTCAACCACAACTAAAAAACGTCTCGTTAGAGCGCTCATGAATAAAGCATTTTCTATTCCTGACATGTCAGAGAGAACTTTGAATGAGTTAAAGCTTCAAGTAAATTTTAAACTACTAGTTTTTCAACTCATCGAAGTAAATGCAGCAGTTTTCACAGATAAATCAAAGCTGTCGGATGCAGTTCGAATGATATAACGAATCATATAGCTCAAGCTAGCCCGAATCCAGTTCCGTGCTGTGTCATAATGAAACGAACTCGAATGCATGCGACGACCGACATTGACTCGGAACCGTTCAAGGCCATCAATTGTTGCATAAATGCATCATTTAACAGGTTCCGAATGCTTACACGTGAACATTTTTGCATCAATTGATATCTATTGCGTTTACAGTTGCGTTACGTATAAAGTGTGTGTTTTAATAATCCGGTCCGGTAAGACCAGTCTACATATGAATCTGCAGCGGTAGCCAATACTAGCACTTCCTGGCTTAGAACGTTATTACAGTAATGAGCTCTCAGAAGTGCTGTTATTTAAACGAATCGGTAGAAGACCATTTGTTGTTTATTTCAAAGATATGCTGTAGTTAACCGGAGTTACGAGGTGGATATTATGCTCTTAAGCGCACGAGAAGAAAAGGAAAACATGGTTAGATGAAGCGTTGTAAATAGTAACTAGCCGTCTATTTATGTACTAAATTCTGTTGCCTATCCTATCTTCATCTCAGCCTATCTCAAAGACTAGATCGAGTTGCGTGAACCTGCGTCCAATGACATAACCGATTAGTCAAAGCCAATTAGGGTTGTCGTCACGACGTGTACCGTAAAATGTGTTTATCCGCTACACTTAACACGCGAATGCCACACGCGAAACAGAATGATATAAATTACCGTTTTTTATTGATCTAGCTTTTGCTCGCAGCTTCGTCTGCGTGAATCTTGGAAATGCTTTTTATCGCGCGCGTCTTTATCTTTTAAAGAAAAGGATCAAACTATCCTGATTCTGGGTCTCAGTCTCTCTTCACCTTCCTTGACTGTTACAAGAACAAAAGATATACAATCTGTTATGGAGGCTATTTTTCAAAATACAATATCGGTTCAGCGGTCAAAGTGTAAAGTCTATTTGTTACCTAACAGACAGACTTACTTTCGCATTAATAATTATTATTATAGGATGGATGGATTGAAAACAATAGATAGTTAATTAAGACATCGTTTACGTCTGTGCCCTATGTGCGAAGACGCCTTTAACGTACAGAGACTTTTCACCATTAAACCTTTTCCTCAATAACATCAAAACAACGCGAATGAGATCTTGGAATTCCTCATTCAATACCAGATTGATAGATTGGGTAATAGTCTTGACCAATTTAATTAAATATCAAGCGGCAATACAACATGCTTCGTCATCAAAAGACACAACAAACAAACAGTACGAAAGCGAATCTAACAAGTCATAATCGTAGAAAGTGTGCGTAATTGATTTTTTTATATATCTATGTGTCAAGTAAACAGTAATGGCAATAGCAATCGCGTTTTAATGTACTGCGATTGTTCAAAGGTTTGATTCACTGCTGGTATTAAAACGGCAACATACAATTACACTTCTACACTTCTTAGTTTGATACGGTATTTAAGGTTTCTAATCGAAAAACAAGTCAATTTCAGAATAGGTTGGCATGCTTTAAATTATTGGGCGATGTGATTAAGCTATTTTTAATCTTATGTGAGGAGTGTATATTAACACATCATCCATCTTACTGGCAGGCTATTAAGGCCAAATCATTTATTAAACTAAAGACCAGTTAGCAATATTTGCGCAGCCAAAGGTGGAAGTTAAGATAAATATTGTTTACAACGTTATGCTTTTACATTAAGGACGAAGTAAAATCGTAGTCAACAGAATCGTTATTTAAATTGGCATCATTTTCATTTAGAAAGTCAAAGGTATGGTAATTAGAGAGTAATTGTTAGTAGAAAACATTTTCACTCTCAGTGTATCGCGAAGAAATACTAATGTATTCAGAGCGGCGAGAAAATTGTAACACTAACTGTATTGTCAATAAATCAAGTATTTGCCAAGCTTTGCCAAGCGTAACAAGCAAACTGAGCTGGTTGCTAAATCATTGTCTTTTATTAATCTCCATTAATTGGAAGTGAAAGTGCAAATCGATTCGCTATTAGGTCAAAATGCCGATTCAGAATTCTTCGCCTCTGACCCTACTGCCAATCTAATTTAACTATTCAATGCTTGTCTAAAGAAAGATCGCTCTTCACAAGACTCAATCAATGCAGAAAATATTACTCATGTTACATAAGATTTTTGTACCAAATGTCATGCATTGTTTCATTCAGTCAACTTGTATAGCAGAGAAAGTTCAACAAAGGGCTCTACATGAATTACTTACCTTAAAAGTGTCAGTCAAATTACGTCACGTCTCGTATATACGATGACGTATCGATGCTTACCTGAAACAGTAGAGCACAGATTCAAAACGATTTCGTAACAGTTCCAATTACAACTCGTACGCATAATACCGTACGTATTTGTTTAGGAGCCTCGGGCGAAAGTTACCGGAATAACTGACCTCTCAATTCATTATAAGATAATCGAAAGTAAAATTAATTCGGCATCGATATTGTTTTGACAGCGGCGATTTTATTGACACGTGTTAGCTGTACTATTAGAGGCTAATTGAAACGGCGATGAAACGGACACTCGATTATTTTAGTGTTACGCAATCGTTTAGGAGTAATTTAATTGTTATTAACAGCCTTTTCTGTGAGAATAGATATCTAATAGATTGAAGGGAGGTTATCCTAATTAAAATCTTCTATTAGATTTGCAAAAAAGGTATTGTAAAGGTATGGTATACTTCTTTCTCTACATTAAAAAAAAAAGAAGATGACATTTGTTATTATTACTGTTGACATAAGATCAGTTTACGGGATGTATAGGTAACAAGTGTCTGTTAAATAGGCCGTCTTTTCTGCTTCGACTTGCGAATGACCTAGCGAAGTGCGAAATTACAGTAAGAGAACCTCCTATCAAAAGTAACAGCTTTCGCAAATTGCTGGGTTATAATCTAAAATACCTCTGGGAGTAATGAAAGAATGGTTGTTGTATAAATGCCCATTTTAGGGATAAATTTCCCTTGTAACAATCTGTAATGGTTCTATTATGCTTTAAGTGAGTAACAATTCGAAACTTTTCATATCGATGGAGCGAAAAAATTAGAAACTGCAATGACCAAGATGGTTAGACGTGATTCATAAAGAAAAGAAACAAAAATGTATAGATGCGGCATCGAAAAAATAACACTCGAATGGAGTCAATAAAGCGCAGCGCTAAAGATTATCAAATAGATGAGAATAGGAGATAGATCCAGCTAACTAGTTATGCATCACTATTAATAATATAAAACGTGTTTAGCGCTTGCATACATAAATGGATGCGGCAAGTAATCCACTAGTCGAACTACTGCAAGTGTGAATTAATAGGCATAAAATGAAGCGTGTCCAGTCTCATCACATCTTTTCTTCGTCGCTAACATAAAGCTAAAAAAGTGCTGCAGAAATTATAAGATAAAAATCTTGGGTAGTTAGGATAGTAAACAACGATAGCGTATCTTGTTTTAAATTTGCGAATCATTCTACCCCAGTTTCTCAGTGAAATTTACGAATATTTGCGCGTTTCCTTAGTCTTATCAGTGACCGTTAAGACAATTACAGCTGGACTGTATCTGAACATCATTACAGTACTGCTTGATGCTAACAGCACGCATCATATCATAAAATGTGCGGTGATGGAAACAACGACTATCAACATTATCGCTGTAACGATCTCACTAGAAAGTTAACTGTTCAAAGTTTTTATCATCACTGTTTAGTTAACTAAATGCACGTTTAATACATTATACTGGCGCAGGAATTCAAATCTATAATTATTGTACACGCTATTTCATACTGGATGTAGCCATGAGAGAGTATAAGATGATGCACGCAATTTCTAACACTGCCTCTTCCTTGAATGTTACAATGTTAAGCATAGAGAAATTCTTTGCCATCTCAATTTGAGTGAGTTGACATGGTCCAAATTGAAACATTTTGAACGTTATTACTTTGGTGTGAGAAGTTCTGTATATTTGTATACCCCAGGTCGACGTTTGTAAAGTTGTTCATGCAATTTATACTACACTTCAGACAAGTGCAAACACCGACAAGCTTGCAGAAGCGATACGTGTGAACAACTTGACATAGTAAACCGTGACTAAGTATGACAGCAAACATGCTAACAGTTTGTAGGCGAAGCGCAAACGCTTGTCAAACAAATAGTTGTTGTAAAGGCCGATGATGAGCACACACTTGAAGGTACAGACGAGTGTGACTAAAGGACTTGAACAGACAATTTGCACACAGTTGTATTGTAAAGCTTCGTACGATAAATACAATAGGAGCTGGAGACCAGTAGACTAACAATATGTCAATGAACGTGAACACTGGAATTTAGAGAACCACGATGATGAAATCGATAAAAATAGTAAAAGCAAAACAAAAGACTGTTCTTTTGTTCATTGAATAACCAAAAAGATAGAACGTACCGTAAATTTTGTTTTAGACAGTCGGCGGACGCACGAGTAAATTACAGATAAGCAATCTGTAGAGAGTATCGATAGCAAATCAGTTAAATTAGCAACGTATCTATTAGGAGCAGCAGTGGTACTCCAGATGAGTGTATCTCGCCTACCGTTGCGCCTCCAACGGAATTGTGTTCAATAAAGCACTGTGTCAGCTAGCGGTATGCGCTTTTTTCCCTTGCCTCGTCCAATCCACCGTGCTCCGCCGAGCTGCGATTCGATAAGCTAGGCTTAATCGCGCTTAATAAACGTGATTCGTTTTTCTTTTGTCAACTCACTCCATTCGATACTCGAAAAAACATCACACACAAAAACAATTTCAGTACCTACATCGCCAACAAATTACAGAATACGTAACAATAGAAAGCAAGAGTTGGAGATTAAAGTTACATATAGCTAAAAAGATTAAATAATGACCAAACTCACTTTTCAATCTACAGCTTCTTTAATACCTCAAATTAATGACTTTGCAATCGTAAAAAGTGGACAGTCAGCATGCTATACTTAAATGCACGGTACGGGTACTTCGCATCGCATAACTCTCACTGCAGTCTTAAACTGTTACTGGAGTAATTTTCTTCGCACTTAACATGTATATTAAAGAAATAATGGGTACATTAGTTTCCGAGAAAGAGTGATTAAATAAAGTTGGGCGCAGAAGGTGATAAAGGTAGCGTATACTGTAAGAAACGTCATTAACAGTATTTGGAGCATGCGAACGTGGGAAGTTTGTATTGGAGAGTTGTATATTCAGAGTCGGGGAATCGACCGAGCAATATTGCATTGTGTGTCCGCAAATTAAAATAAATTGTGTGGGCGCTGCCAATGATCCGAATAGAAATTCCGGTGGCAATCTGGAGAACGTGACCACTGTTCTTGTTTGCATTGCGGTTGAAGCGGCTATAAGCGGACGAAAGTCAACCTACATTAGGATCTGGCACGTATATATTGCTGACAATTTCCCTACTGACGTGGGTCAAATTTTATTTATGTCACCGTGCTGCATTGCGGAATGAATGCAAAGGTTGTCCGCGAATCGAGCCTGTGCACGTGTGAGCATAATCAATGGGTATTCGGCGCACGCGCAGAGCGAAATTCGCGTGCCGATTGGCTCGTGCCGGCGAGTCTGCTGGACTCTTAATCCGAGGATTGTGTGGAATCACTTATGCAAATTGGTGCCGCCATAATATAATCTTTTCTATTTTAAACTTTCGCGCCTAATCTAAGGTTTTTCTTTTTTTTTCTAATCACATAAGTATCGGTGTTTCGCCANCTAATCACATAAATATCGGTGTTTCGCCAGCAAAACACTAAAATCCTTCTCCTACCGCCTTCCTTATCTTCCCTCTCCCTTGCACGCATACAAGGTGCCCTTGAGCGAGTGAGAAGAAAGCATCGAGGAATTCGCAACGTTTACGCCCATTGCGTGGACACAACCGCACATCAGTTTGGCTCGGAATGTGACGGGAGGAGCAGCGCCCGCGCCGCGTTCAGTCCCACAGCTCTGGACTGAATTTATTTATCGTTTTATATTGTGTTAATCGCATTTTGGAGATCTCCCGCGAGTGTATTTCGTGGACCACATATAGTGCAGTACATTGGGTGTGTGAANAAATATGGTGCAGTACATTGGGTGTGTGAAATATCATCGAAGAAGACGTCCACGTAGACGATACCACCTGGATGCCAGCGCCCGGAAAACCCAGCTCATCGTACCAAGGATCCTGCCTACAAGTATCTCTCGTGAGTCTTTACCTTTCAAATTTCCATCCTTCCCATGTGTTTTGCTGGCCCACGTTCACTTTTATTTCTCATTATTTTATGGAGATCAAAGCAAAATAGTACAAACCGCAAAACCAAACACCTACAGTCCACTCCAGGGGTTTCGACTCCTAACCGCGGTGTGAAGGGAATAATTTACTTTCATACTAACGGTGGCTCCATCTTGTTTTTGGCCACACCATATTTATGGTCCTTCGAGCCGGATTTGCTTTATCCGCAAAAATCATCTCAAACTTATTATATTTTATTGTTCTCACGTAACATTTCCGCATTTTCTAACATTCTACGCATTATTTTAACAATATTTTGCCTGGATGACACCATATTTCTTTATTATAAATATTTTTCGCTCATAAGTAAATATTTCGTTCAATACATATTTCAATCGCTCTTCAATCGTGCTCCATCCCGCATTATTTATTATTAACCGCGTTATGAACAGTCACTGCGTACTGTCATAATTAATTCTACGCTCATTTTGCCAAACTCAACGCTCGCTTGGTCTCTAAGTACCTACCTCCGCGCCCAGCTGCACACTGCAGTTTCGTGGCTCATTCCGCTTCTCATTTACTTTAACCGCGTCCTTATTATACATTTATTTAAAATGCCAAAGGCTAAAGAAGATGCCTCAGTCAGTGAGACTGCCAGAGATTCTCTAGCTATGGACATTCAATTGGCATTATCATGTCGCAATAGAATATTTGCTCGCATTCAGCGCACTTTCGACCTTATTTCAAAGGTCAACTCCGGCGCTGAGGCGTCTTTCCATTCTATACATAGCCAGAANCCTCAGTCAGTGAGACTGCCAGAGATTCTCTAGCTATGGACATTCAATTGGCATTATCATGTCGCAATAGAATATTTGCTCGCATTCAGCGCACTTTCGACCTTATTTCAAAGGTCAACTCCGGCGCTGAGCCACAGGAAAGTTTTATGTCCGCATGCGTCAACATAGATGCAATTCGCAACGAGTTCAGTGCTGCACTAGACCGTTATAATTATCTTGTTCTTAAACAAAACGCTAACGCCGTTATCGACGAACAGTCATGGACTAATTTCGAGGATATGTATTGCCGCATTAAATATGTTTATTCTATTTTTTCTAAGTCCTCAATCGAGCCTTCTTCGACTGGCAGTGACATTAAAAAACAACAAGTGCGTCTGCCGCCCTTAGAAATCATGTCCTTTGATGGCGACATTCGTAACTGGCCATTGTTCTACGCTAACTTTAAAACTACAATCCACGAAAATAGATCTTTGACAAACGCCGAAAAATTATATTATCTACTGGGCAAACTGTCAGACAAAGCTCAAACCGCATTTTCGGGTATTAATCCAGATGGAAATAATTATAATCTCATTCTTGAGTCGCTCGTTAATAAATACGAAGACAAGCGTTTATTGGCTTCTACATATTTAAATCAGATGTTTAACCACAAATCATTTAGTTCCGCATCTATCGATAATTTCGAATTATTTACTGATAATTTTGTTTCCGCCGCAAATGCCTTAAAAAACCTTAAAATCGATAATCTCACTGATTTCATTCTGTTTCACATTGCTATACAGAAAATAGATTCGGAAACCGCCAGATTATTCGAAATGAGTTCAAAAGACGAAATTCCTAATTTTAATAGTTTAGTCAAGTTCATCAAGGAACAGTCACGCGTTTTACAAAATACTAATAACTTAAATAATTCAACGGCGCGTGTTAATACGTCACAACAATCACAAAAAAGGCAATTTAACTTAAATAAATCTAATAAATGTCCGCAACCGCAATCATACGCTGTTATAAATAAACCCGCAAAGTGTTTATGTGACAATTTCTTTCATGAACATTTGTATAAATGTCCCGCATTCTCTAATATGTCACCGACCGCTCGGTTTAATTACATTAAACAAACAAACGGTTGTATTAATTGTTTGAGTAACAAACATAAGACCAATGTCTGTCAGTCTCAGTCTAGATGTAAAACTTGTCAAAATAAACATCATACTCTTTTACATTTCACTAACCGCGATAACGCTTCTAATTCACCGCAAGTGCCTTGTGGCTTATCAGCCGTCGCTAGAAACCGCTCGGGTTCGATTCCGGCGCAGAGCGCGCCTACGCCGCCCACGCAGCGAGTAGTTGACGCCATCGCGGCGCAGCCGTCCCTTTTACACGCGAGCGCGCTGTCTATGCCGCCATCGCCGTCACACGCGCAGCCTTCGTGCATTCATAGTAAGCCGGCCGCGGCGCCGATGGGCGGAAACGTCACTCCGGCCGCTCCTCAATGTAACGCATCCATCGCCGCGTCAAATAAAGTAAACAATCATCTTACTTCTGCGTGTAAGCAGCGATGTATGACGAACTCAACAATATTATTGTCAACTGCGACAGTAGTTGTTCGGGACTCTTTTAATAATGAACACCTCGTTCGCTGTTTATTAGATAGCGGTTCACAAATTAATTTTATTACCGCAGACTGTTGTAAACGATTAAGTTTAAGTAGTCAATTTTCAGATACTCTCTCTGTCAAGGGTATCGGTGGTACGGAAAAATCCGTTAAGGGTTCCGTATATTTCCAATTCGCGTCCCGCTTTAATTCAAACGTTAAATATAACGTAGATTCGTTAATTGTCGATGAGATAACCGACGATCTTCCTACCGTTCCGGTAGATACTTCCGCATTGCCTTATCTAATGGGTTTGCCGCTCGCCGACGAATCGTTCGGCACCCCCGGGCGCATCGACGTGCTGATCGGGGCTTCGCTTTTCCCGCATCTGTTGCTACCTCGCGTGGTCAGCAGCAACTCCTCCGCGACTCCTGCAGCTGTGCAGACCGTCCTGGGCTACGTAATTATGGGCAGTGTGCCCACGTTGCCTGCGCGACGTAATAAAACATCGCTCGCTTGTTGTTCTTATATTCCGCGTCCGTCTGACATAAACTCATTAGAATCGGCTCTAAAACAATTCTGGCAAATTGATGAGGCTCCCGTCACTCGCTCGACAAGTAAATCATTTGACGAGTTGGAGTGCGAGCATTTCTACGCAGCGACCACGGAACGTGATCCTAATACTGGCAGGTACACAGTTGCCTTACCGTTTCACTCTGACGTTTTCTCTTTGGGAAACTCAGTAGATGTCGCGAAAAAACGCTTCTTCTCGCTTGAGAGAAAATTAGAATCCGCGCCTGAATTACGAGCCGCCTATAATGACGTCATTCGCGAGTATATTGAGAAAGGTTATCTATCTCTTGTATCACCCGATATATTCAACGACAGTCTTCCTGACTACGTTATCCCGCATCACGCAGTTGTACGTTTAGATAAATCTACTACTAAACTACGCTCTGTCCTAGACGCTAGCTCTAAGACAAGTTCTGGCCTTTCGCTTAATGACATCCTTCATAGTGGCCCGAATTTACAGGGTGATTTATTTAAAATTCTTTTGAATTTCCGCCTTTTTGAAGTCGCTCTGTCGGCTGATTGTCGTCAAATGTTTTTACAAATTGGCGTAAGAGAAAACGATCGTCGCTATCAACGCATTTTCTATCGTTTCGACATGAACGATCCTTTGGTATTATACCAATTTAACCGCGTTTGCTTTGGACTCAAGTCGAGCCCGTACCACGCTCTCCGCACCGTACAACAGTTGGTTGAGGACGATGGCCATATTTTCCCGCTCGCTCGCGCCGTCGCTTCCGACTCGCTGTATATGGACGATATAGTTTTTAGTGAACTATCTGACTCGCGCGCTATACGAGTCGCTAACGAATTAATCCTACTTTTCAAAGGGGGTCAGTTCGATTTGGTCAAGTGGACGAGCAATTCCCAATCTGTACTAAATAACATTCCTGCATCCCACAGGTTGTCAGAACAACTAGAATTCGATAAGACCGTAGAACAGAGGGTTCTCGGCCTTCGCTGGTGTAAGTCGAACGACTCCTTTGAATTTCTCATCACCGCGCCCCCTGATACGTGTTCAAAACGCGCTATTTTGTCTGTTGTCGCCCGTCTGTGGGATATTATGGGTTTTGTCGCGCCAGTGATTCTATACGCGAAATTGCTTATAAAAGAGCTGTGGCTGTTGAAGCTCGACTGGGACGATGAGCCCCCGCTTTCTATTATAAATCTTTGGCAATCCTTTCGCTCTGCCTTACCGCTTTTAAATGACTTTAAAATTCCGCGCCATTTAGGTGTGTTTGAAAATTGTATTCTTCGCATAATTGGTTTCTCGGACGCGAGCGAGCGCGCTTACGGCGCCGTCGTTTACGCTCACGTTACTTGCGGTGATCAAGTAACTGTGCAGCTGGTCTGTGCCAAGTCTAAGGTTTCGCCAGTCAAACCCATGACCATTGCTCGGCTAGAGCTTTGCGGTGCAGAGCTTCTGTCGAGATTACTTCGTCGTGTTCATGACACATATGACCCGCGTTATAAGATTACCGGACTTTACGCATTCACCGACTCAAAGGTGACTCTTTGTTGGATTAATTCATCCCCGCACCGCTGGCATACATTTGTGGCCAATCGGGTCGTCCGCATCGTAGACAATGTTCCCGCGGAGCATTTTTACCACGTAGCTGGCACTGAGAATCCCGCGGACTGTCTCTCACGTGGCTTGACGCCCGATAAATTCATTGAGCATCCATTGTGGTTGCACGGACCTGCTTGGGCCCAGCGTGACCCATCTGAATGGCCTATTTTTAAAATATCCGACTTGGGTTCAAATGCCATTCCAGAGGAAAAGGTACACGCATACTCAGTGGTTTCCGACCCTGAAAATTCTCTTATTCTCGAACTTGCAGAACGCACGTCATCGTGGACGAAGTTACTGCATATTATCGTTTTCATGTATCGTTTTATGAAAAAGATACCTCGCCGCTCTAGCGCAGTCACCGCGAGCGATTTAATATTCGCTGAAAATGTCTTGTTACGTCACGTTCAGAGAAGACATTTCTCTAAAGACTTAGAGTGTTTAAATGATAACAAATATTGTTCTCCCGCTCTTATAAAACTCAGACCATTTCTTGATAATGACCTGATTCGCGTCGGTGGTCGATTAGATCACTCGGCTGAAGTTTACAGTACAAAACACCCTGTGGTGTTACCACGCCGCGACCGCGTAGTTGATCTTCTTATAGATTATTATCACAAAAAATATTTGCACGCCGGTCCCGAACTTGTAATGACATTATTACGTCATAAGTATTGGATCTTGTCGGCCAGGCGAATTATCCGCTTCAGAATTTATAAATGCAACGCTTGTCACAAGTGGAAACCGCGACCTCTAAATCCGCCGTTAATGAGCGACCTACCTAAATACAGAGTGACCGCTGCTAGTAAAGCATTCTTACATACAGGCTGTGACTACGCTGGTCCTATGCAATATGTGCCCATCCGCTCAAGGGGTGCGAAGAGCCGCAAGGGCTACTTGTGTATATTTACATGTATGACTACACGCGCAATTCACATTGAATTGGCTACCGATCTTTCTACCGCTTCGTTTGTCGCCGCGCTTAAACGTTTTTTGTCTCGCCGCGGACCGGTACAATGTTTGTACTCGGATAATGCTACCAACTTTCGCGGGGCTAATTCTTACTTACGCGACTTATACAATTTTATCAATAAAGATTACCGCCCGCATTTTGAGGAAGAGCTCGCTGAGCATCGCATAAGTTGGCAATTTATTCCACCCGCTTCGCCCCACTTTGGTGGCTGTTGGGAGTCCATGGTCAAAACAGTGAAAACTCATCTTTTTAAAACTATAGGTCAACAACTTCTTTCTTATGAAGAGCTTGTTACTATAATAACTCAGATCGAGTGTTTATTAAACTCTAGACCCCTGACCGTTCTTAGTTCTGACCCTTCAGAACCTGAGGCTCTTACGCCTTCACATTTTTTACACACATTCCCGCTTTATTCTTTGCCCGCCGCGGAGATAGGTCCTTCCCTTGAGAACCTTATCGAACGACACTCACTTATGGACAAGATGGTCCAGTCGTTTTGGAAGAGGTGGCGAAGTGAGTATCTTCATAGTTTACAAACGCGTCTTAAATGGAATAAACCCGATGGAGACACGATTAGGGAGGGAACAGTAGTAATTAATGATAACGCGCCTCCACTATCGTGGCCTTTAGGTATTATCGAGAAGTTGCATACTTCTAAGGACGGTGTCACACGGGTTGTATCCGTACGCACTTCTAAGGGTACTCTGATTCGACCAGTGGTACGCTTGTGCCCAATTCCTACGCAGTAATTTATAATTTTATTCGCCATTCCCCTCATTCATTTTATTAACCGCTATATTTATTATAATACATTTCTTTAAAGGTGACCCTTTAAGGCCGGGGGGGAATGGTGCCGCCATAATATAATCTTTTCTATTTTAAACTTTCGCGCCTAATCTAAGGTTTTTCTTTTTTTTTCTAATCACATAAGTATCGGTGTTTCGCCAGCAAAACACTAAAATTCCTTCTCCTACCGCATTCCTTATCTTCCCTCTTCCTTGCACGCATACAAGGTGCCCTTGAGCGAGTGAGAAGAAAGCATCGAGGAATTCGCAACGTTTACGCCCATTGCGTGGACACAACCGCACATCAGTTTGGCTCGGAATGTGACGGGAGGAGCAGCGCCCGCGCCGCGTTCAGTCCCACAGCTCTGGACTGAATTTATTTATCGTTTTATATTGTGTTAATCGCATTTTGGAGATCTCCCGCGAGTGCATTTCGTGGACCACATATAGTGCAGTACATTGGGTGTGTGAAATACCTCATAACTCGATCATCATCTTCGAAGAAGACGTCCACGTAGACGATATCACCTGGACGCCAACGCCTGGAAAACCCAGCTCATCATAGCAAGGATCGTGCCTACAAATATCTCTCGTGAGTCTTTACCCTTCAAATTTCCATCCTTCCCATGTGTTTTGCTGGCCCACGTTCACTTTATTTCTCATTATTTTATGGAGATCAATTGTCATTCAAAGCAAAATAGTACAAACCGCAAAACCAGATACCTACAGTCCACTCCAGGGGTTTCGACCCCTAACCGCGGTGTGAAGGGAGTAATTTACTTTCATACTAACGGTGGCTCCATTTTGTTTTTGGCCACACCACAAATGATACGAGAAAACGTTTTGTCCGGACGGATGTGATTGTTAATTCATGGAAGTCCTAGGACAAGACTGTGAGCAATAGAGACAGAAACTGAATACGGTAAACGTAACTTGTCACAAACACAAATAATCTGAGTAACAATGTAAGGTATGTCGACTGTCTAACGCGGTGCCGCGTTTTCATCACGCCGCGAATGTGGCAGATAACACTGCTCGTATCACAGCGGAGATCAGGAAACTCGCGGCACTCACGACCGTCTTGTTTATATCGTGACACTCCTATCTGTCTGCCAACAAATCGGGGTTTATGGAAAACCTTTTTCTTTGCACACACCGCTCACGCATGCAGAAATTCACGCCTCGGATTAATCTAATCATCGCAAATCTTTCTATCCCATCTAACTCTCGTCGCTCACGCGCTGCTCATTATCCGAAATCGCCTAGTGATTTATATTTGCGTGCGGATAATGGACTTGTCAAATGATTTGCGAAGTTTTGCATATGATAATCGGTTGTTTTCAATTGCTTCCCGCCTTAAATACGTATTTCATAACACGTGTGACAGAATGCGAGCGGCCAGTTAAGCATTTCCAAGTGCGGTAAGACGTAACTAATGGTGAGCAATATAAATATGTCTGTTGAGGTAATGAGTCTGTCGGCTCTTCAGAACGTTAAGCCTAGGCGTAGACCACCGACTTTTAGTTGGCCGATATAGTTGGGTCGGGCTATTAATCAGTATGGAGATGTATGAAAGTGCGCACATTGCACCGATTTGGTATTGGCCAATTCTTCATACAAATTAAATTCGGGCCCAACTATCGGCCAGCTAAAAATCGGTGATCTGCGCCTAGGCTAAGGTAAATTTCGTGACAATGTCGTTGAAATTGAAGCTTTTGAGTTTAATCTCAGCTTAGCAGTAGACGACATCTATTCTATTGTTGAAAATATACCTTTCTTATTAATTTGTAACAAACCTCTTGGTAGCCTACACCCAGGTTTCCCGTAACCTTTATCTGGTCATACATTACGCCAACGCTCAATTTTACTCAACAATATTACTACCCCACAGGCCTGCGATAAATCGCGCTACGTGCCCAGCCTATTGCCACTCAAGTAAGCTATTGGTAATCGATTGAGCTACGTTACTTACCGTTGTTCTTCCATGGATTCAATTTAGTCAATAAATACGGAAAAGAAGATTTTATGGTATCATGTTCAGCGGTGTTCACGGCGAAACCTTATGACATTCAGCATAAATAAGTAGTTATTTTAAATTAAAAGGTTCATAAGCGCCTGGAAAATTTTATATGGATATGTAGGATTTTAGTTTTATTAATCCTGGATATTCAGATAATCAGAAATACGAGTACATTGCCGATTCTATTCAAAGAAGAGGTCACGAACTTCTGTATAATCGAGGTAGTCTCTGGTTAAGTTCAAGATAGACTGGGACAGTAATGCAGAGACAATTACAATCTGCCCTCCTTAGATGTGAATAATGGAGCCCTTATTGGGAGAACAGGAATGGGGCCGCGGCACTGCCCACCAGTGAAACGGTAATGATCGTGAGATTTGAATGTACACTACCTGACGTTAAAGTATATGCAGGGTGACTCGAAAGCAGAATCGTGTGACACCTTGGAGAAAGATGAAAAAATTGATGTTTTAAATGTTTTTAGATAAGACACCTAAAGTATGAAAAGTAACAATATCAACGGGATATGATAGAGATTTCAATGTTAGACAATTTTAGGATTTGGGAGACAATATTGAAAGTATTGTTTTGTGCTTAAGTTAAAACGTAATAAGGTTACCTGGAATTATTTGATTTTTTTACAGTCGGTTGCTTGCTATAGTTATATAACTACTAAGTATAACAAGTCGGAAAAATGTGTCGTATAAACATATCAAGAAAATGACATTTTCATAGCAACAATTTAATGGACACACCCTGTGTAAGCACCGTATGACTACAGTTATCCTGATTGCAAGGGCGTAAGCGATTAAATCTAGACATGCGTAGCAATCATACAGAGAAGTATATGCTTTCCTGGTAATATCATAACATGTACGGGACCTACACTTCATGAATCTAGCAAAAATATTTTTTTTCCTTAATTACAGCTTTTACTGGATCAATAGATACGAACCAGTTTGAACAACATGTTTCATTTGGACCATTTAGATGTAAATGATTGGATAAAAATTAATATTGTACACATAAATATGTATAAAGGTGTATGAATGGACAGTTGCGACTAGGCCCACGCTTCAACGCGGTCTCATACAATTGGAAGAATTGCGTACACCACATGTGTCAAAGAATAAATTCGTCTTACTTTGGAAATCAATATAGCCTTAACTTTAAATACATTTTCATTTGGTGTTTTTACAATGTATCGGTTGATTTCCTGAATAAATATATAATAATTTTTTGCAGCTGAAAATCATTTAGTTTTAACTACGATAAAAAATCGTCGCGAATATAATTAGAGAAATATTGTCAATACAGTGTGTCCGGGCTTGTAGTGATCAAACTTTAAGGGGGAAAACTAGGGATAATTTTATCGATAAAAGTAGTTCAAATTTGGGGCTTGACCCATTTATCGCAAAATTACAGGGATTTAAGTTTTTAATTTTTAGTTTTCACCTCTTCCTTCAAAAACAAGTGAAAGCGTGGGTAGCTTAACATTAATAAGCAAATATTTTATATCATGCGATAGCCAATAAAATTATGTATTAGTAGAAGTAGAAAACAGACACAAGTTTCATACATTTTATGGGAGTAAGAATGGATTTAATTAGAAAAATACATGATTTTTTTCACTTCTTTTTCAGTTATTTTCCAACACAAGAAAAACCAGGTCGTTAAAGTATGTTTTATTTGCATTGTATTCTTAGTGTTTGAGCTATTCTACAAAACGAATGTAAATTTATTAGTCTACGTCTATTAGTTTCGACGTAATTGTTTAACAAAGATACCCCTTCCCAGCCGCTTCCATAGCGCATCGGAATAGGTTGTGTGATTCTTTCAGGCAGTGCATTTTCGCATGTTAGCAGCGCTATGGAACCGGCTGGGAAGGGGTATCTTTGTTCAACAATTGCGTCGAAACTGATAGATGTAGACTAATAAATTTACATTCGTTTTGTAGAATAGCTCAAACACTAAGAATACAATGCAAATAAAACATACTTTAACGACCTGGTTTTTCTTGTCTTGGAAAATAACTGAAAAAGAAGTGAAAAAAATCATGTATTTTTCTAATTAAATCCATTCTTACTCCCATAAAATGTATGAAACTTGTGTCTGTTTTCTACTTCTACTAATACATAATTTTATTGGCTATCGCATGATATAAAATATTTGCTTATTGATGTTAAGCTACCCACGCTTTCACTTGTTTTTGAAGGAAGAGGTGAAAACTAAAAATTTAAAACTTAAATCCTTGTAAATTTGCGATAAATGGGTCAAGACCCAAATTTGAAGTATTTTCGTCGATAAAATTGTCCATAGATTACGCCCTTAAAGTTTGATCACTACATGCCCGGACACACTGTATATTAACTTTAATAACATGCTATAAATGTTTCCGCTGGCCTATAAAAGTTGTAATTACCGCGTTTTATTCAGCAGTTGTAACAACTAAGTCATAAAGGTTCTATTTCAGGAAAAATGTTCAGTTATTAGGATGTATTAAAGCGTTATAATCGCCCTAGGTTCAAGCGGCGTAATTATATGTGCCTTATAGAGAAAGTGTACGCCTCACACTGACCCTATTACGAGAAAGGATACCATTTTATTTCAATTAGTGTTATCATTATATAACGATTGACAAAGACACAAAAGGCAGGGTAATGGGTGAAAGCGACAGAATTGATTCTGAAGCATCATCATCCGGTCTGATAACCTTAGCTTCTATTGTCGGTGGCAGCAGCGTACAATAAAGATGCTGCATTCAAACGCTGGCGTTTCATTTTCCTAAATGAGTTGCCAGTTGTAAAACTGAGTCGCAGATGGGTTATTAGGCATCGGTAGCATTGTACAACTCGATGTGGTCGCCCACAAAAGCTTTCTCGCGGCCTTTATACCTTTCAGCTGTCAATAACCGTGCTCGAGCTGTTATTAATTCATCGTTGACGATTAATGGGACTTTGTGATATCTAAATTGGATAGAATGATCGAATTCTCACAGATTTTATTGTTCGGCCGAATTAACGGGCGTAGATACAGACGTGCGCAGTAGCATAACGTTGTGACTTTGTATGGTCGAAGTGTGGAGTCACGTTCGCACAATTTACCTGCCTGACCTACAAACCCTTCACCTAGGGCACTGTACTACTGTACTAAGGTAGAATAGTGACCATGTATTTATGTATCATCCACTCTATAATTATAGCTTTCGCCTCTAATTTAGAGAAATAAATCCCTCTAATTTAGGGAATACCCTACAAATATGGCCCATTATTTTTGTCTATTTTGACGTCTCCCACTGCCGATTTCACTTGGTCGGTCCAGCGCATAGGTGACCTGTCACGCGCTTGGGTTCCTTCGACTTTTCCTTGGACGTTTTCCATCCTCGTACTTCTTAATTATGTGCAATAAAGTTTTCAACAATAAACAATTATAAGATCACTGACACAGTTCAGGCTCTGGTTCTCAATTCATTTTAATAGGACGTACAAAACTTGCTACAGTCTATGGGCACTGACTTAATACAAGTTCCTAGTGCGCGTACCGCGTTTATGCCAATTACATACGCGTTCGACCAGGAAATCCTGTAAACGATAATTTATTAATATAAACATAACACCATGTACCATTTCTCGAAAATATCCATCGCTAGGTAGCCGCTTGAATAACAAAATACTTTGGCTTGTCGGTGATAAAATAATCATGGGTTTTTAAGTTAAAACGGTGGTTAATGAAATAATGTTCCTCTATGAACCACCGGTGCAAAGTATAGACGCAGAATTGCATACTTAGCCTTGTTTTTAGCATAAGCTGTCAAGTCACGGAATAAAAAAATAGTGTCAAAGTCAATGTCAAATTAAAAAAACTTATTGTGGTTAAAATATCCAATTTCATGGTGATCATGATATATTTTTATGTTATTTACCTAACGGCAAAAACCATAAAATAAGTGAAGCCCATAAAATCAGCAAATAGCGTGTGTTATTACAACATAAACATAGAAATAAATGAATGCACATCCAATTGAGCCGTTTAGTGTAATAATGCATAAAATGAAAACTTGTGTTGAATACATGACTGGTACATTTGCATAAGCACCATGTTGCATATGTAATGCTTATTTAATAACGTGACAAATTAATAGATGACATGAGCTTACATGAAGCAGCATACTTCTAATTTATTTATAGCGAGTTAAAAATGACTCTTCATTATTATTTCTACGCGCTGGCATTTTTCTTTCAACGCTTTTACGTTTTAACTTTTAGCACTTTCTAAAGAACTTTGACAGGTGTTTATCGATTTTAATTTGCATTATTAATTAATAATTGTTATATACACGCAGAATGCCAGTTCATATCTTCGAGCGCAATAATTTTGAGACGACTAGTGAAGTGGTAGCGATGCGTCATGGCAAAAATAATAATCACGAATCTATCATATCAGAAACGAGTGCTTTGACGCTCTTCTGTTTTCATAATCTACATTTTGTCTGTCAGCAAGTTGCACTCCACGCATTTCCCAAACCGTCAAGTGCACGAATCTCCCGTTACCCCGTTACCTCAAATTCCGTAGCACAATGGAGCCGTTGAGCGATTCCATCGATGGGTAATTTAGGCCCATATTGTGTTGCCGAAGGGCCTCGCAGTGGAAAGGCACGATAACATAGCCAACCGACCGGAAAGTGGTCGCCACTTTAATTGAAAATGAAGGAAAAAACGCAAAGACAGATGAATTAATCGAGCGCCATCCGTGAAGTACGCGGGAATCTGAGCGTACCGTTATAGACGAAGAGCTAGTGAACGCCAGAATTATTATGAAGTTTGGGTCATCTTGGCTTTGGGAGCTACCCTAAAAAAACTGTCTGGCAAGGAGTTGGAACTGTCAAAACTGTCTGGCTGTTGGGGAAAATACTTCTAATTATTGCCCAAATATACATAAAAATCAGATTTTATGGTATAACGTTAGTAGAATTACAGTCTATTGAATATACAGAAAAAGTCACCGTAAAAGTAAGACTTACGTTATACCATAAAATCAGATTTTTATGTATAATATTTGGGCAATAATTAAAAGTATTTTCCCCAACAGCCAGACAGTTTTTATATAAAATGACGTAGGTCTGGCGTTCACTAGCTCTTAGTCTATTACCGGTTTGGTGATAATAATTCCTGTACACATCACTATTGTCAGCTATTACCGTTTTCGGTAAAGTCTGGGTAATGTAACGGGTATGACAGTATTTGTGTGAAACGTTTGAGATTATAATCAAAATGAGTTCACACGAGTTCAATGAACGATATTTATTAAAGCAACAATTAAAAATGGCGGTGATGAATTTGAAATGATTATAATAAAGTTTTGTACACAGTGTAAATTTTTGATAAATATCTAGTTTTACAATAGTTTTGTTAATGCTAAAACGGTTGATGCTAGATTTAATCATTGATTAATTGCCTAAATAAGCATTCAATGGCAAGACCATTCAGTTTTAGTTATAGTCAAAGCCTCATCAACATGGCTACAAACTGTATTCTAACAAATTAACGACTTTTAACACAAAACCCAATACATAATGTATTAACGGTTATTTTATCGTAGCGCATTAACCGACGTATTAATGAGTAATTAAATGTCGAAATGAGGATTGAATGAAATTTTATGACAACAATGAAAATTACCGCCACAATCAACACTACCGTTAGGGCTATTATACCTTGAATTACCATGGATGGCTAGGCCAATTTAGACCCTTTGTCCTCTGCCTGAGTACTAGAACAATTTACCTACTTGATTACGAATTGAAAGGGGATGTTGTGCTAGGACGCAATAATCGCAAATTAGGAAGCTTTTATGGTCTTGACGGGCGGGACGACTTCGCAATTTACAGGAATTTTTGGTATTTTCTTACACGGTCAAGGAATCTTATAACGTAAATGCATCCTACTATTTCTAAAGCAGAAACATCTCTATGTTCACCAAGCACCTTAAATGTCTCTTTCAGAGGCAAAGTAAAGATTTTCTAAATATTTTCAAGAAAAGTGCTTCTTTTTGATAGTTAAGATTGAGAGAATTGAACAAATTCGCCATTTTGAAACTACAAAATGTTATAATTTCCTGTCTGCAAGCCCAAAGTTGGCCACTAATGCGTTGGTGACAGGAAGAAAGTAGATCTTAATACAAAAACGAGTATTTATCCTAAATTGTCGTTTAACGCATTCATCGATTGAAATGTACTTAGACCACATGTCGTTTTCTACTCGTGACTGGAGAACTGGCACTGCTTTTGTTACACATTACAGACCATTCATTTTTGTCGCAAAATCGCTTCTATTACGACTACATAAAATACATCCGTGTTAAGCCTAACGTATTGCTGAGAATACGCACTGCTTTTGGTAAAAACAACGGCAGACAAGCTAAACTCTATGGCATCTTATGTTCGTTGTAATAGGGCCGAGTTTTCAACAAAAAAAGTAAAGACTGATGTGCCGTCTGTACTTGATTGTCCATTCTCGAACGCTGCGGTCAAGTGCGTGACGTTATCACTTTAATGTGCGCCCGCGCACGTGCCGCACTGTCCCGTTTGTAATCCTCATGCGACAAGCGACCGCATGTAATAAATATACAGGGTGTGTTGTGTTTGATCAACGGAAAAAGGAAGCTTCAGAAAAGGACTGTGTACTGTAGGAAATTTTTATAGAAACCTTGAGGATTTTTCTGGAATATTTATACTCATTCGGTCTTATNGAAAATGCTTTTCGCGGGTGGTGCGATTTATTTGCTGTCGAGTGTACATTCTGAAATTAATAGCTAATAGAAAACAGTCAATATTGCCGTTTTCACTTACTAAGGCCACTCAATACAAAAGTTGACAGTTATTTTTTCTGCACTTATAATTTACATCGCTGAGTTTTCACAACAACGTTGTTCCAGGAGTGTACGTCAAGCTAAAGGGCAGCAGAGATCCGCGCTGCAGCGTGATGGTGGCCAACTGCGTGTCGTGTCTTGACGCGCTTGCAGCCTCACATGTGCTGGGCACCATAAGTGTATGTATTCGGGAAGTGGGAAATAATTTCCCATCCTTTGTTATTTTTGAGTACATAGGCCGAGTTGCACCATCTTACTTTAACTTTGACAATCGTCAAAAATCTGTCAAACTCCGTACAAAAAGCACCGGATAATGTTATTGTCACGGTTAAAATAAGGTGGTGCAACTCAGTCATAGTCTGCTAATGATAGCAGAAAATGTGCTGATTGCTTTCTGATTTTTTGTTTATGTATAAATGTTTTCAAATCAGATGATAAACAATACGATAAGTACCGCGTAGTATGGGATTAGTAGCGCCTGACGTCATAGTTTATGCCCTATGAAATCGAGATTCGAGATTTGTTTTGTTTATTTTTTTATTGACAAAGATCTAATAACACATCTTTACTCAAACAAGTAAAGCATGCAATGATGACAAGACCAAAAGATGTGTTTTTATAGTTTTTTTGTTGTTCTAGTTTTTTAAATAGTGAAAAATTTTTAGTGCATTAATTACTCTGTAGGCAATGCAAAGTGAGGTACAAAATTAATGCATGCGATTTTATCGAATGGACAAGTCATTATGCAATAATCACATAATTTATTACAGCTGTTCAGTTAAGCATAATAGCTTTTTTGTTTCAGTTAAAGAAGTGGAAAGTGCCTCCATTTTTTGCATCCACGATGGGTATAAGAAATGCTGCGCAGTTTGTTAGGAAGTAAGTACAATAAGTAATGTGTATATTTCATGTATACTTTTTATAGTTACAATGGTTTTGGTTGTTTAACCTGTGAATTACCGGGTCACAGTTCTGTGTCATGGCTAATGGCTCATTCAACGCTATTATGCGGTTTCAAGGTCGCGGAAAATAATTATTACTGAAGTTTGAGCACTTTTCAAATGTTGGGGGCCCTGTTATAACGTTTTTAATTTCCTCCTCTTAATCACGCGGCCCAGGTAAGCGAGTGATTAACCTTAAAAAATCTTAGCCTAAAGCTTCTGCCTCAAATTTTGCGGACAGCCGCTGTTTTTAAGGGGTGGTCTAATTCGTGTCCGACCTCGACGAATTTACACTAGTTCTATGAAGCGTCAAGCGCCGTTAAATTTCGCGTGGGACATAACTGTTATGTGGGGTCCCTAGGCGGTTGCCTTAATCTGGCCTTGGTGGCCCCGTATCATTGATACGCCTGATACGGCGGTATCGACGTCCTTGAAACTGTTAAACATAACGCTTCACTTTCATTCTAAGACCACCTCACATTAGGGAGTGGATTTACATTAAAAATGCTGATGCCGCGCTATCATATAGTATGAAATTACGAGTCGCGCGACAGTCAAGTAAATGCGAAAGCGCACTATGGCTAAGAACTCACGGCGCGATTTTCACCCGCGCCCGCGGCGGTTGCGGGCCCACAGCTTCTGTAGAATGCAGATACTTATGTAAAAAAATAAAGCACAACTCACGACGCGGTTTTCGCCCGCAGCGGGCGCGGTTGTATACGGGTCCCGCGACACCGGCGGGCAACTAGTAGAATCGCGCGGGCCGCGGTAATCGCAGCCTCGGCGGTTTTCGCCCGCGCGCTCTGCGTTCGATTGGCGGGCGACCATTTTGTACCAGTGACTTAACTGCCCGTCTTGCGATTATCGCCCGCCACGTTCGCGCGTCGTGAGTTCTTAGCCTATAGGTTTAATGAGTAACGTTCAAGGCTTCCACAGACCAAACGCGGGTCAGAAGCAGTGCGGGTCAGTTGCAGCGCGGCTGAGGCACACTGAAAGCAGCGCAGTTTCAAAGCAGTTGCAACGCGGGCGGTTGTCAAAAATTTAAATATTCGAAAACCGCTTTCAACGCGCTGCTACCGGCCTGCGTCCGGTGTGTCATGCTAATATGGCCGCCATAGTAATACAACAGCGCAGGCCCGCGCTCGCGCCGCTTCTGTCCCGCTCCCGCGTCGCCTCGTTTGTCGTTCGGCAGTTGCAGTGCGGCGCGGTCGGAGCGCGTACCCGTGTTCAGATTTGATGTGACACACTTCAAAGAGTTTCTTGTATTACAACTTGCGCGGGCCCGCATTCAAACTGCGCTGCTACTGCCCCGCGTTTGGTATGCCTAAGCCTTTATTTATTAATTGTGTGTGCAGACAGCACTTCGGCGAATGCGCCAGCCAGCCGGTTCTACTGCAACCAGAAGGCGGCGCCGCCAACGGGCGCGGCGTGCTGCGCTTCACCGACTGGCCCTGTCCCCTCGGCAACCGCGTGCAGCCGCTAGCTATCAGTGAGTATACCACATTCTTCATCGCTTTAGTAATAGCCAGGCTTTAGTCTGTACGACTAGGCTAAAACTTACGGCGAGCACTCGACGATGGAATCGTCATACGCATGCGCTACTTATAGTACTGTTTTTCAATACAGGGGGCTATTCAGAAACGCTATTTATGTAGATTCGGGCCTATCTTTCGCTAAAGCCCATGCTAGCATTGAGAGAGGGATGGTAACAAACTTCGGATAACGTTTTTCGGAGTAGACGGACAACCGACACAACAACAACACACAACCGACGGACGACAAACCTTAAAACCTTTTTAGGGGTTGAATTTTTTTAAAAGGAACCCCTCATGCAAAATTTGAGACTCCTAGCGCTTGTAGTTTCTGAGATTTCTTGATGAGTGAGTAATGCCCGTTTTCACCATCAATCCCTAATTTTTAAGTGACCCCTATGGTCACTTTGATGGATGGATTTGATATGGATTGATGGTGAAAACGGGCATAAGTGACTTTTTGCTTTATGTCGACTGTAGATACCTGTATTTATTTTTGTGACGTCCCGTCTAATAAAAAATAGAATGTGCGAAAGAATTACACGAATTAATATCATCGGGGAACCAAACGCAGGTTAGCGTACCATCCCTATATTGTTGACATTCCACCAGCTCGCACTAAGCGTTTCGATGACTCTTATAATGCGAACAGCTAGGGACAGGAATTCGTTGCCTGCTGCTGTCTTTCCCGAAAACTACATATAATCCGGGCCTTTTCAAGGCGAGAGTGAATAGGCACTTACAGGGCAGATATGTACCATCCTAGACTGCATCCCACTTAACATCAGGTGCGATTGTGGTCAAATACCTACCTTGTTATGCATAAAAAAAAATATTACTCTCAAATGATGGTATTGTGATGAGTAAACTCCTATTTTATCTTCATCAGCTGTCGAGCGGCCATTCACCAACGTGACGGTACATCGAGCAACCGACGCCCGCGACAAGTTCCCCTGGTCGGACGCGTGGTGGTTCCTGTGGACGCCGGCCACCGTGTTTAGTATCACGCTTCTACCCGCTTTGGAGAGGCACGACGATGATGACGCTGCCTTCGCCGCGAGGATACGGCAGACTATCGCTGATGGGCTTGGGGTAAGTCAAAAAAAGTAATCTTCTCTCTAGAGTATCAAATGTTGAGGAAACATGGAAAATTGGAAGAGCTGAAGATCAGTCGCTGACACATTTGGGGTGTGTCAAACAATTTTGACTAACATCCTTTGGTATCCCTAACCTTCGATCTAAAGCATTAGTTCGACCATACAAAAAAGTCCGCCCAGTCAAGATTATTTATTGGTCGTATCGAGCAGTCTGGAATGCATTCTCTGGCGGTCGCAGGTTTTTTATACTTAAGCACATAAATGGCCCGCGTCCCCCTATAAAGGTCTTTGCGCCTCCCCTAGGGGGCGCGCCCCCCTCTTTGGGAACCAGTGATCTAAAGCATCGGTTCCCAAACTTGTTTTGTCTACTGCCCACTTTGAGAATAGATTCTTTTTAGCGGCCCCATTTGTAGTCGAGAGTCGAGTGCTCAGTCGGTGTCTAAGAGACCTCCTAGTAAATGACGCCTCCCAAGCCTCTACACAACGTCCCGATTTTTTTTCTGGGTCTCTTACCGCCCCCCTTTAAGCCTGCAGCGCCCACAAGGGGGCATTATCGCCCACTTTGGGAAAGACTGATCTAAAGCTATCTGGTTTGGGACACTGATGTCAGACTGGTGGTATGTAAGTATTGAATAGACCCTCGTAGTATGTATGTTCCCCTGGTCGGACGCGTGGTGGTTCCTGTGGACGCCGGCCACCGTGTTTAGTATCACGCTTCTACCCGCTTTGGAGAGGCACGACGATGATGACGCTGCCTTCGCCGCGAGGATACGGCAGACTATCGCTGATGGGCTTGGGGTGAGTCAAAAAAAGTAATCTTCTCTAAAGCCTGGTCGCCCGCAGTGAGTGTGCGAGCGCGACAGCAACATTACATGCGAGCGACAAGGATGGGCAGCTTGGGGGTCATTGGACGGGATTCCACGTGCTCACGGACCAGGCTTTAGAGTATCAAATGTTGAGGAAAGGCAACATGGAAAATTGGAAGAGCTGAAGATCAGTCGCTGACACATTTTGGCTGTGTCAAACAATTTTGACTAACATCCTTTGGTCTCCCTAACCTTCGATCTAAAGCATTGGTTCGACCATACAAAAAATTCCGCGCCCCCCCTCCTCCAGTCAAGATTATTTATTGGTCGTATCGAGCAGTCTGGAATACATTCTCTCAGCGGTCCCAGGTTTTTTATACTTAAGCACACAGGCCCGCGTCCCCCTTTAAAGGTCTTTGCGCCTGCCCTAGGGGGCGCGCCCCCCTCTTTGGGAACCAGTGATCTAAAGCATCGGTTCCCAAACTTGTTTTGTCTACTGCTCACTTTGAGAATAGATTCTTTTTAGCGCCCCCATTTGCAGTCGAGAGTCGAGTGCTCAGTCGGTGTCTAAGAGAACTCCTAGTAAATGACGCCTCCCAAGCCTCTACACAACGTCCCGATTTTTTTTTCTGGGTCTCTTACCGCCCCCCTTTAAGCCTGCAGCGCCCACAAGGGGGCGTTATCGCCCACTTTGGGAAAGACTGATCTAAAGCTATCGGGTTTGGGACACTGATGTCAGACTGGTGGTATGTAAGTATTGAATAGACCCTCGTAGTATGTATGTTCCCCTGGTCGGACGCCTGGTGGTTCCTGTGGACGCCGGCCACCGTGTTTAGTATCACGCTTCTACCCGCTTTGGAGAGGCACGACGATGACGATGCTGCCTTCGCCGCGAGGATACGACAGGCCATCGCTGATGGGCTCGGGGTGAGTGGATACGATATTTTTAGTGACTGGGCGAGGAAAAAAGGTCAGTCACTTAAAACACTCAGAAGTTGGCTACTAGTTGTGAAAGTTATGAATTTTCTTTCGCTGAGAGGATAGAGCAGCGTTTCTTACTTACTTAAAATTTTCACGTTTTACTCTTCTTCAGGCACGTTGAAAGAGATACACAATTCCTAGATTACAGTATGCGACTTTGCGAGGCCTGAGTTGAGCTTTGCATTACTTATCGTAATTCACTGCATGAGCACGATTTCCTTTGATTTACTAGAGGCAAATGCATTATTTCGTCTCACGCTGCACTGGCCACTCTGACGTTTGCGTGATTACGGTCAACTCCGTAGTCCAATAGAACAAGACCACTTTCACACTGATTTGCTTAAATTACTCAGCTTCATTCTACCATTCTTTAACTATATCCTGCCGAAGGAGTTAGCAGATTATACGGACTATACTATACAGGGTCGCGGGAGGTGCCTGGATGCGAGCGGCGCAGGACCGGTCTTTGTGGAAATCCTTGGGGGAGGCCTTTGTCCAGCAGTGGACGTCTTTCGAAAACGAACGAACGATACAGAGTTTCATAATCCTGACGTTCCTTCATCGTCTACTGCCCAGGTGGAGCTAGCGGAGTACAAGTGGGAGGAGTTGAACGCGGGCGGGCGCGCGCCGCGCCGCCGCGAGCCGCCGCCCGAGCTGGCCCGCCTCGCGCGACAGGTCAAGGAGGTGCTGCCCGCCGTGCCCATGAGGGACATCATGCGAGACCTGGGTGAGTGGCTGACTATCTATGGATACATTATGGAGCCATATTGAACTAAGAGATACTTAAAGGAGGTTTCAGGGAGATTAAAGGAATTTTAAGAACACTTCAGGGATCACAAGTACAATTTAGGAATCCCAGCTACACTTTAGCAGTCCCAGTGTCACTAAAATGTACCGTAGGCCGTACCGTAGCAACACAAACACACATACACTACAACTATTTCAAGTTACACTCGGCTATCATATTCCATTGCTTCTTTTCTTTAACTTTATTGTTAAAACTTATATGTATTGACTTAATCAGATCTGACTGGACAGAGAGACTGGATCCCACAACACAGGGAATCCTAGTGTGGGAACCAGTGCCTTACTTTACTGCTAACATGTAAACTTTTGAAATAAATAAATTTAATTATTACTGTTCAAGATGTCCCAGAAACACTTGAGGCGTCCTTTCCAGGAATTCCAGATTTCCAGGGATAATCAAGGAGTCATAAAGTATTTTAGGGACTTAAGACATTCAAGGGGTGACACTATAAAAAGTGCCAGTGACGCTTCAACGATTTCTAGAAATCTTAATAACAATATTAATGGGGATATAGATATTTTTTGTACCTCTTTGAACAGGCTTAAATACCAACTTCATCATCTAAATTAATGTTGATGAGCCTCACTTTTTTAATATTATATATATATCTATTATATACACCTTTAAAAGTGTACCGTGTCAATCTTTCATGCATGCAGTGTTTACCGTACTATTATTGTGCACTTAGTTCTAAGTTATTGTTATCTAATTTTTTGTAAGCATTGGTGTAACAATTATTGGTAAACCAAATAAATAAAATAAAATAAAATAAAAAATCCTTCAGTCTCAGGGACTTTAGAAAAGGGTAATTATTTCGCATTTTTACTTCTAAAATATACTTGGCTCCCTACACGGACACTAAAGGACTGACACCCATCGCCTTACCGACTTACCCGTCTGCACTAAGTATTTTAATTTAATACATCCCAATTATTCACAGCAACGACCCGCAGCGTGGACGTGACTATAACGAACTTCCTCGAAGGCGTGAGTCCCTACACGCCCGAAGCCACGCCCGGGCCTTCCGCGCCGCGTTACGTCACACCGGCTCCTACCGGAGTATTCTCCACGAATGCGCGCGATAGACAACTCAGCTTCCAGGAGAGAAAGGCTAATATGATAGCGGAGGCTCGCCGCAAGTATATAGAGAAACACGGGCTGGATGCGGCGCTGTGCTAGGTTAAGGGGGTAATGTTATGGATAGTTGTCTTCGACGGTTGAGGAAGAAGGCTGTTTAAAGGGGCTAAGAAGGTACAGTGGTTCCCAATCTTCGGGGTGAAGTCCCAAAGAAGTAGAGAATGCAGTAATAAAGTCTCGACGGCATTAGGGCACCAATCGCGTTAAATTTTTCGCAATGATCACTTTTTTAATTGGTCACGTTGCAATTATTGAAATTTGTGCTGAAATATTGAGATTCAGATGTGCCTTAATGCAGACGAAGTGCTAGAAAAGTTAAATATCAAAGTCGAAAGTAGCGTTCGACTTACATTTTGAGGGCATCTATACACCCGTATTCACAAATGATGCTTGTTTAAATGAAGCAGCAAATCGAACGCATAGCGTTAAATAGAGCTCTGTGATTGGTTCGTATGTCACCCTGTGCGTCCACGTGCACGGTGAGACCTCATAGTGATGTTTGTGAATACGAGCGTTAGTCTCGTTGTAGTCCGTAAAAAAGATTGGGAATCGCTGAATTTGAGACGATAATTCTTAGCCCTGACGATATGTAACGATGCTGTGAGTTCAGAAATGTTTTGCTTTAGGCTATTTTGTAGAGATTATTATTGGTTGATGCATTGTTCGACAATAGCTCTTCAAGTCCTCGCAAAACATAAGAATAAATTTGAGCCAATTAATCCCCTAAAGTGAATTCTTGCTTGTTTAATGTCTTCGCAAATAATACAATTATTATATAGCTCCGTTTTGATCTATCACAATTTTTCAAGTCTATATTTTCGACTATTTTTGTATCTTGTTATTAAAACTTTCAATTGTATCCTTAGATTTAGACGCTGAGATTTTTCTTTTTAGTTTAAAAATGTAGTAAAACACCAATTTGGTACTAATAAGGGTTACTATAAATTATTTTGTAATCTTAGAAGTGTTGTTGAGGTTAGATGTTTCAGATGTGTAAAAATTATATCTAGAGGAGGGTTGGTCGTGAAAATTATCCATAAATGTTACTACCCACGGGGAACGCGAGACGAACATAGCAGTCAAAGGATTCGCCGATACATTACTCATTATAGTGCCTAATAGATTCGATGTCTGCATTACTTTCTCGTAAGTTTAGGAATGTGATTTCTGGCGAATTATTCGAGTGACTTGTAATGCTTTATGTACTCGATTATTGCCATTTTTTGCCACTTTAAACACTTCAGATAATGATCGCTACGTGAGTTCCGAACAGAGAATCATCCTACAGTTTTTAATTTTAAAGTCACGATTGTAATTCGCCTGACATCGTTATAATTTGTGAACGGTAGGTATATGTTGAGAATGCGACATATTTTTGCTTATCAGTCTTTTTGTTTGATTTTTTGTCGTACCAGACAGGGTTGTCAACTGTAAAAAAAAATATTTTTGTCAACATTCAGAACACATTATTTTATTTTTATCAATCTGTGGTTGAGCTGGGCAATAAATTGATGTGTTCTTACGTATGGCATCGATTCCTAAGAGTTATAACGGATTCGCATAAAGAAATGGCTACGAGTATAAGTACTCATATTAGTGGTTTTAAATAGTATAAATATATGTGATTGAAAATATATATTCTATAAACAGTTGAGGGTTTAAAAATATGTTTTGTATCGAATCGTTCCAAATAGTATAGAATGTTTATTTCTATGTCCTTAACAGGCCTTTTAAAGTAATATTTTGGTATTTAACGCTAGCTGAACGTGTTAGTGACTAAGAAAATAACGGCTCTTTTTAACCTTTGTTAGGTTAGTGTTTTACATACATATCTGTTTGGTTAGACATAATTATTATTTTAAATTTAGTTTTAACTCGGTTGTTTTATTAATCCAATTAGATTAGCGTCATTATTATCTTTTAATTTGAATTATTAAGTTTTTATTTTCACTGGTGTCAGTCATTGTTTTAACTCATCCAAGTAATAGATTTTACTGATTTTAAAATTCTAGTCCAATGAGGCTTTTCTTACAAGATATCACAATATTATGCTAACACATAAATAAGCTTGTTTATTGAAACAAATAATTTATATTATATACTTTAGTCGTTTGATATCGTATCGTGTTTGATTAAATATTTTTCCTAATGTATATTTTGATACTAATTTCATTTTCTTTCATTCATATTGACTGACATCGCTTACTTGTCCAAATGTGACTGTTAAAGTTACATCAATTAATGTAGCCTAATTGATTCATTATTAGATCTCATTGTACAGAATTCATATATCACAGACATACAGTGCCGTTTATACGTGGTTATTGTGAATACATTTGTACATATTATATAAAGCAATATGTCGTTCATTGAGTTCAGTAAAGAAATCGCTCGGTCTTTCTAATATAATGCGGTTTTTATGCTCAACACATCGAAAGACAAATGTATTTTATTTTAAAACATTCATAATGTAATTAATATACGATACGTTGAGTATTTAAACCGGCTAAAATTCAATTAAACAATTGTTTTGGATATAATGCACAAACCAAGAGGGTTGATCCTATAAATTACAACAATTTCAATGAAATAATCGTTGTAGAATAAAGGTAGCAGGAAGGCGCTGGATGCAGGCCGCTACCAACCGTGCGATGTGGAAGTCATTGGGGAAGGCATATGTTCAGCAGTAGACGTCCTATGGCTGAAATGATGATGATGATGATGAATCGTTGAAGTCTCAAGAAAATAGAGCTGTCGGCAATTTAGATTGGGAAAGTGTTTTTATTTTGAGACAAAAGTGTTCGAGTAGTAGTTTTAAAGGGTTGAGCCTTTTGTTTGTGCATTAGACCCAAAATTATGCAAGCTGAGTGATTTCATAATCAACAATCTAAACTATTTTATAACTGGCGTTAGTATAGTGTGACGGTGGCCTCATGCTAATAATAATATTTGTACGGTAATCTTAAAGAAATAAATTCGCAGAAATCGATTGTCATGATCCACATCAATAAATTATAATACAGGGTGTCCCAAAATTTGCACGTCACACTGACACACTATGGAGCGAAATTGAGATTTATGGACATAGCGATTTTTTTCACAATTTCTATTTGAAAAAAATACCTATCGATAGGTTACGTTATTCTGATGAATAAATGCTTCACAAGTTTTTCTCTAAAACCAACAGTTTGACTGGAAAAAAATATTTTCCATTTTCGTTGTATGAAATGAAACATAAAGTGGTCGATTTCGACTAAGCCTTGACAGATCTTGCTTTGAAACTACTTAAGCCTTGTTCTATGGCTTGTTGACTGTAATCCTACGCTATCAGCGCGCATCCAAAGTTGCCCGTTCACAAGTTATGAGGTTCTGAAAAATTAAAAAAAAGTAAGTAAAAGTGACTTTTTTTTGGAATATCTTTAAAGATTTAACAAAAATATAAAGATTTTATACGTTAATAATGTAAATTAACCTTAAATTACTGCTAAAAACACATTTTAGTAAACTTAAAAGGAATTAAATCAGCGATTTTTTTTTCACAATTTCTGTTTAAAAAAAATACCTGTCGATAGGGTATGTTATTCTGATGAATAAATATTATGAACGTTTTTCTCTAAAACCAATAGTTTGGCTGGAAAAAAATATTTTCCATTTTCGTTGTATGGAATAAAAAAAAATCGCTGATTTAATTCCTTTTAAGTTTAGTAAAATGTGTTTTTAGCAGTAATTTAAGGTTAATTTACATTATTAACGTATAAAATCTTTATATTTTTGTTAAATCTTTAAAGATATTCCAAAAAAAAGTCACTTTTACTTACTTTTTTTTAATTTTTCAGAACCTCATAACTTGTGAACGGGCAAATTTGAATGCGCGCTGATAGCGTAGGATTACAGTCAACAAGCCATAGAACAAGGCTTAAGTAGTTTCAAAGCAAGATCTGTCAAGGCTTAGTCGAAATCGACCACTTTATGTTTCATTCCATACAACGAAAATGGAAAATATTTTTTTCCAGTCAAACTATTGGTTTTAGAGAAAAACTTGTGAAGCATTTATTCATCAGAATAACATAACCTATCGATAGGTATTTTTTTCAAATAGAAATTGTGAAAAAAAACGCTATGTCCATAAATCTCAATTTCGCTCCATAGTGTGACACCAGATGTAAATGAGCTTACGACGCATCTAAAAAGTATATTAAGTCCATTTTTAAAAATAACTAATATGAGTCATATTTCAAAACTCATCACTTTTCTATGGAAATGAATAAATAAAATTGATCATATCTTAAAACTTATGAAACTTTCTATGGACATTAAGCTTGTTCGATGCGTCTTAGACTCAGCTACCTCCAGTGTCAGTGTGACGTGCTAATTTTGGGACACCCTGTATTAACAGCGTCAGCAATAGAATAAGCTAGTACTAGACTGAAATTGGACCTAAATCCAACAGATGCAAAGGCCATAATCGCACGCTACCGCGCCCGACTTATCGTATACTAGGGTACTGCCAACCGGCTTCCTTATACATAGTTGTTCAGATATTAAGTTTATTCGACGGTGATTATATTGAATAAAAGTTTTGTTTCAAAAATAATGATGGTTTTTTATTTCATACACATTGAATTGTACGTACAAATCTTAATTTATAATAATAATAACTTAATCGATACAACGTGGATTGAGTTAGTCTTAAATTGAGCGTTGATGTAGTATAGGTTTCTTTTATTGCTTTTTGAATTTGAATTGAATTGAATTGAATTTTATTGCTTTTCTTTGGAAACCCAAATAGTTTCCAATTATTGAATTCGATTTGTTTTTGATCTCAAATAACCAGACGTGACGTCAATTTCTTATTGCTGCAAAACCTAAAACGGAATCACGTCTCTCAAAGAATCAAACGTTAATGTTAACTGTTGCCCTATGAACATAGAGTTCATGTTTTTGTTTATGGTGACGTAATAATTTACGTGCGCTTTTTGTATACTTGATTTGACGCGTTTTTTGACACGATTTTTATTCTGAACAGATTGTCTGGTAGTGTACTATTGAAGTCCATTGTTGGAAGCCATTATATCCCTTATTCCCAAGGCGTAAGCTTCAAAGTCCCAACCGCTGCGGCGCGCGTCGCGGCGTGTTAAGACCAGGAGTCGCTACTTCTTGCGTGACGGGCACGTCTTCTTCGCGTTTCTTCCGCTCTTCGGCCATCTTCTGTTCGGCTAACTTCATCTCTTCTTCCATTCTTTGGAGGTGCACTGCTGCCTCTTTCCGCTTGTCGCGGTTGGACCTTGGGATGAGTAAATAAATGATAAATAATGATTCTGGCACATAAGGAGTCAATAAATGTTAGGAACTTTTTAAAGAACATAAACACTGTCTCTGCCAGTCTCTTGCAACAGATATCTAGCTAGACAATTCCTAGAAACTAAGCCTCTTTCCAGAACACAATATCAGCCAGAGCCCGAACAGAGCAGAGGTCGGGCGCAGGTGAAGAAAAATGCATGCGTCTTTGCCGAGACAGGAAGAAAAAGGACGAAAAATACCTTCTCACTAAAAAGACCCCGATGCTCCATTACTCGCCATATGTGGGAGGAAAAAACTATAAATCCCTTAAGACGGGGAGTGATGGGAGCAGCTGGGAGCACATAGCTGTTCCCGTCTGATACTAGTCTACTCTAGGATAAGAATCTATCCAGATCCTCCGTTGTTGAGGATTCCGGGTGAAGCTCCCTTCCACATTCGGCCTGACCTAAGTGGAAGGGAACTGGGATTCCGGACGAAGCCTTCAATACCACAGCCCCTCAAGAGGTGTCCCTAGATCATGTAGCGTCAGTCTGCAATCATTAACCTAGCTCCCTCTAGTAACACTAGAGAATAGTTTTTTTGACGGGGAAAATGCATTCTATCTTGCATCAACAGGGTAGGTTTTCTGAGGCTCACTGAGTCAGAAGGACGAGACATGCTAATAAGACCCAGATGCTCCGTCACTCGCCATAAGTGAGCGCGAAAAATGCAGCTGGGAAGCACACAGCTGTTCACATCTTTCTTCGCTCGCCTCCTTAAGCGATAAGAATCTATCCAAACATGTTTTCTGCAAAAAGAGTCCACCACTCACTTGCCAGTCTCCTTGAGCGAGAAGAACATCGGCCCCAGCTCGGCCAGCCAGCGGCCGTCAACAGCTGTGACGCAGTGCATGTACTCCTTGGCCGTCATCATGAGCTCGTGGTACACCACGTAGTCCGGCGACGAGCCCAGCCCGAACAGAGCCGACGTCGGGTGCAGGTGGCAGGTCACATACTCACCTTTTTTATGACGAGGGTAAAAGGAATATTCCACCTTGCAGGGACAGGGAAGATTATGTGAGGCTCACTGAGTCAAAAGAACGAGCCATAAGACCCCGATGCTCCGTCACTCGCCATAAGTGGAAGGGAACTGGGATTCCGGACGAAGCCTTCAATACCACAGCTCCTCAAGAGGCGTCCCTAGATCATGTAGCGCCCGTATGCAATCGTTAACCTAGCGCCCTCTAGAAACACTAGAGAGTAGTTTTTTGACGGGGAAAATGCATTCTATCTTGCATCAACAGGGTAGGTTTTCTGAGGCACACTGAGTCAGAAGGACGAGACATACTAATAAGACCCAGATGCTCCGTCACTCGTCATAAGCGAGCGCGAAGAATGCAGCTGGGAAGCACACAGCTGTTCCCGTCTGATGCTAACATCTTTCCTCGCGTGTCTGCTTCAGCGATAAGAATTTATCCAGTCATATTTTCTGCAAAAAGAGTCCACCAATCACTTGCCAGTCTCCTTGAGCGAGAAGAAATATTTTTCCTCGCTTATCTCCTTCCGCGATAAGAATCCACTCATGTTTCTGCAAAAACAACATCCTCAAAAAACTCCACTCACTTGCCCGTCTCCTTAAGTGAGAAGAACATCGGTCCCAATTCAGCGAGCCAGCGGCCGTCAACAGCTGTGACGCAGTGCATGTACTCCTTGGCCGTCATCATGAGCTCGTGGTACACCACGTAGTCCGGCGACGAGCCCAGCCCGAACAGAGCCGACGTCGGGTGCAGGTGGCACGTCACATACTCACCTTTTTATGACGAGGATAAAAGGCATATCCCACCTTGCAGGGACAGGGAAGATTATGTGAGGCTCACTGACTCAAAAGAACGAGCCATAAGACCCCGATGCTTCGTCACTCGCCATAAGTGGAAGGCAACTGGGATTCCAGACGAAGCCTTCAATACCACAGCTCCTCAAGAGGCGTCCCTAGATTATGTAGCGCCCGTCTGCAATCATTAACCTAGCGCCATCTAGTAACACCAGAGAGTAGTTTTTTGACGGGGAATGCATTCTATTTTGCATCAACGGTAGGTTTTCTGAGGCTCACTGAGCCAGCAGGTGAAGACATACCCACTAATAAGACCCAGATGCTCCGTCACTCGCCATAAGTGGGCGCGAAGAAAGCAGCTGGAAAGTACACAACTGTTCCCGTCTGATGCTAACATCTTTCCTCGCTTATCTCCTTCAGCGATAAGAATCTATCCAGACATGTTTTCTGCAAAAATGACAAAAAAGTCTACTCACTTGCCCGTCTCCTTCAGCGAGAAGAACATCGGCCCCAGCTCGGCCAGCCAGCGGCCGTCAACAGCTGTGACGCAGTGCATGTACTCCTTGGCCGTCATCATGAGCTCGTGGTACACCACGTAGTCCGGCGACGAGCCCAGCCCGAACAGAGCCGACGTCGGGTGCAGGTGGCAGGTCACATACTCACCTTTTTATGACGAGGGTAAAAGGCATATCCCACCTTGCAGGGACAGGGAAGATTATGTGAGGCTCACTAAGTCAAAAGAACGAGCCATAAGACCCCGATGCTTCGTCACTCGCCATAAGTGGAAGGGAACTGGGATTCCGGAAGAAGCCTTCAATACCACAGCTCCTCAAGAGGCGTCCCTAGATCATGTAGCGTCCGTCTGCAATCATTAACCTAGCGCCCTCTAGTAACACTAGAGAGTAGTTTTTTGACGGGGAAAATGCATTCTATTTTGCATCAACGGTAGGTTTTTTGAGGCACACCGAACCAGCAGTACGAGACATTCCCACTAATAAGACCCAGATGCTCCGTCACTCGCCATAAGTGAGCGCGAAGAATGCAGCTGGGAAGCACACAGCTGTTCCCGTCTGGTGATAACATCTTTCCTCGCTTGTCTCCTTCAGCGATAAGAATCTATCCAAACATGTTTTCTGCAAAAAGAGTCCACCACTCACTTGCCAGTCTCCTTGAGCGAGAAGAAATATTTTTCCTCGCTTATCTCCTTCCGCGATAAGAATCCAGACATGTTTCTGCAAAAATAACATCCTGAAGAAACTCCACTCACTTGCCAGTCTCCTTGAGCGAGAAGAACATCGGCCCCAGCTCGGCCAGCCAGCGGCCGTCAACAGCTGTGACGCAGTGCATGTACTCCTTGGCCGTCATCATGAGCTCGTGGTACACCACGTAGTCCGGCGACGAGCCCAGCCCGAACAGAGCCGACGTCGGGTGCAGGTGGCACGGCATGCCGGTACGACAGTTTACGTACTCGCCGATGCCTTTGAGGCGGGCCGCTTGTTGGAAGTACGCTGGAAGATATGGAAATTTTGATTAGTTCTAAGGTATTATAACAGTCTTTCCCAAAGTGGGCGATAACGCCCCCTTGTGGGCGCTGCAGGCTTAAAGGGGGTCTCTACACTGTAGAGCAATGGTTGTTAACCGGTGGTCCGCGGACCACTGGTGGTCCCTGGAGGCATTCCAAGTGATCCACGATGTGCACTTGCACACCTTGGTCAAAACCACTTTTAACAGATTTTTGCAGTCAAACTGGTTTTGACCGATTATTAGGTGGTCCCTGACAAGACAGAAATTTGGTAAAATGGTCCCTCATGACATAAAGGTTAAGAACCACTGGTGTAGAGGCTTGGTAGGCCATTTGTAATTTCATCTACTTAGGAGGTCTCTTAGACACCGACTGAGCATTTGACTCTTGAAAATTTAATGGGGGCGCTCAAAATAATTTATTCTGAAAGTGGGCAGTAGACAAATGAGCTTGGAAGCAAAATAAAGTTTTGACTTGTACAGTTCGAGCTAAGATGACCAGCTCTACTGTGGTTGAGGATTTGAGATGAAGCTGGCTTTTACCGTGAAACGCAAGTCAAGGTCAAAAGCTTCTCTGATATGGGTAAAAAAAAATCTCAAATCTTAATTTCAATATTTCATTTAACCACTGCTAGATCATACAGTGTGAGTCTTGATAAAGTGCACATATGAAAAAAAGGTGAAACTAGACCTATTTTTATCGACGAAAAAAAGGTAAAAATATCCGAGTTTTTTTTAAATATTACATTTTTTTTCTTTCAATTTGTTATTTTAAAGAAAACGTAATAACTTTTAAACTAAGAGGTATATCTTGATAAAATAAAAACAGTAATAATGCAAAATAACAGGCGGTACTAAAAAAATACATACAATTTAAGTTAGATACATAGATACCAGGATTTGCAGCGCTAGATACGACACATGGGAAAAGTCCGTTCGTGGCCAAAGGCTGAAATGATTTGTGACGATGATGATGATATAAGCTCACCAGAACAGATGCATTTGCGAACAGTGTCCCAGTCAGTCCCGCACGACGCGAGCGGCAGGCGTTGTTGCTGTAGGATGTCCTTCAGCTGTTGTCGCACTTCACGCACTTTTCGCATGGCCTTGCCGTGGACGAAGTGCTCGGTGCACCACTGGCTGGAATATCTGCGGGAGAATTTAATGTTGACACTTGATTCATAGAACAATAGGGTATTAAATCGTTTCATAGACGAAGACGCGCCCCACCATTCTTTAGCTAATGTTTGAGTGTTATCGGTACATGCTAAATTATCCATGAGTGCACACGCACACTACAATAATGACGCTCTGATTGCTCGGATCAAACTCTCCGCACCCCGCGCGACCGAGAACAAAAATTGGTAGGGCGCGTCCGAGTGGATGAAACGATCTTATAGTTGATACCACCACCAATCTACTGACATTATTTTTATGAGTCAAAACATGTCTAAGTTATGGATTATGTATGATTCTACCAAATGAATTGACTAACTATTGATTAATTGCAAAGAAACTCAAAATACAAATTTCAGTTAATATTCGATGACGTAATTTCAACGGAAATGGTAGTCCAAGTGATATCACGCCATAACACACCAAGTAAAATTAATTAAAACCTGTTTTGTGCAATGATTTGTGTGTGATTGAGTAGGTAATGCAATAGATACTTAGAATAAATAAAGTCGAATAAACAAAATTATAAAGCTTATATCACAGCTTATTATACAAGAAAGCTGCTACTTTTGAGAAAGCCAGTTCCAGCCAGTTCCTCCGTGGTTGAGGATTCCGGGTGAAGCTCGCTTCCACCTTTGGCCTGATCATCACTTAGGTACCATCAGGTGAGATACAGGCCAAGAGCTTCCTCGTTGTGGATAAAAAAAAAGTACAATAATTAATTTCAAAGCATCCAGTACAAGTATGGGCATTAAACTCACTTGTTAGCCTTCCACTGGTTGTACAAATGCAGCAGTGTTAGATGGTCCGACTCAGGCACTTGAAACTTTTCCTTGACGGAGTCCGCTTCTTCCTCGCGTCCTTGCGGCCGGTAGAATACAGATGGGACTGACAGCATGGATACTGCAAGGTAATAAGGGTTAATTTACTTATTTATTTATTAAGGAAATAAACAGCAACATTCATAAATAAAACAGTCTACTGAATGAACTAGCCCAAGGGTGGCCAACTTGATTAGACATAAGATCTACTGTTTACTAACGAAACCCAGGGCGATCTACCACTTACATACTTCTTGAAATCTTAAATGAAACAGCATAGTTTAGTACACAATCATGTAGTATTTTTTGCCTTGCCATGATCGACCCCTGCACTAGCCATATTGGGGGAGGCCTATGTTCAGCAGTGGACGTCCTATGGCTGAGATGATGATGATGATGATGAGTAATCCATATTTAGGATGTGAGACACAAACATAATATTAGGTGGTATCAAATTTGTATGAGGAAACGGCTAAATCGGTGTAGTGGGCGCTTCCATACGTCATGTTCATACTGATTAACAGCCCTACCAAACTATCGGCCGACAAAGTCTGCAGTCTGCGGGGTGTCTTATTGTTTTTCATGAATTCCTCGAAATTAACTTTCGTTAGACGCCATAGGGTCTAAAGAAAGTTTTCACTAGGTTAGTTTACTTGATGTGGATTCAATATGACAAAAAATCGAAAATGGGTACAAACATGTGTCCACTATCATCGGTTTCAAAAATGGTTGTTCATAAGGACAGACCAATTGACACTCGATGCGCGCTCAAATTCGAAGTGTTTCAATGTTTTCTTAAATTTATTACTTCACTGCACTTAAGAACACAAAATAACACCAGATTTGTACACTAAAGTTCATTAATTAATAAATTAAAACCTTTAAAACAGATCGACCACGCTTCCTGTTCAACTACCCTCCAATAAAAACAGATCTACCTACTAAACGATCTACCATCCTTTTTTATTTGACTACCCCCACTAAAGTGACAGTTTGTCAGTAGTGTATTTGACAATAATACGCTCACAGATAACAACTCTCTTAAGGTAAACGCACACTTATTTTAACCGAACGCGCTGAATGAGTCGATTTAAATAAATCAGCATTTTGTTTTGTTTACTAGCGAGGGGTGTTAGGTTTTAGACCCAATGAAAATCGCCGATATCTTGGTTACTCAGTTTATTTGTGACCAGAGTGAGTGTGACATCTATTGAAACTAACGGAAACTATTTACTACTTGCTGATACACGCTAACGACTCCGTGTACCTATAGACCATGGCATATACTAAGATTTATCTGATCCCCTGAGGCGCCTCGCCATGTCCACCATCCTCCACGACTTCAGCTACGTCTAAAAGGATCAAACCCTCGCCCTAAATAATCTACCAGTCTATCCACATACCTATAATGAGCACCTCGTCAAGGCATCCTGCTGTCTGCCTATATCATTTAGGATCCACAGCTGGTGCAAGAAATCAGGTACTTGTCCTGGGATGTACGAATGCATATCTATAATGAGCACCTCTGCACTACATCCTGGTGTCTAAGGTACAAAAATCCAAATGGTATTTGGAATCAGGGTCGTGTCCTAGGACCTCCGCACGGCTACTGTCTAAGGTACCTAGGGTCCACAGCTTGCACATGGAGACAGGACATTGTCCTGGGATGCACATACCTATGATGAGCACCTCCGCACTGCATCCCATCTCAGCCGACACTATGAGCATGTGGCACTGCGGCGGGTCGAGTGGGAACTCCGCCATCTGCCGGCCGAGGGGCGTCAGCGCGCCCGTGCCGTCCAGCGCGCCCAGGATCCATAGTTGGTACATGGAGTTCAGGATCGTGTCCTGGGGAATAACGATATGAATCAATGGGGCTATTCTTAACTTTACAATTGCTGCGGCTAGCTTAAACGTAAGCCTTGATGATCAGTAAAAATTAATAACTGTATAATTAATAACTGTATCAGGAAAAAATAAATACACTCGAAGTCAAATAAATCGCACCTCCCGCGAAAAGCATTTTCAAACGTATGCATCCCCACTTTCCCACCAATATTGGTACCATTTAAAAGCCTAGTTCTAACCTTCATTTCATTAAAGCAAAGGTTTTTACACCAAAAATGTGTCTTTAGAAGGATCCAGAGTCACTTCTTCAAAAAATAGGTAGTTACGCTAGAGCCAACTTTTATGGCTATAAAACTGTTAAGTTGGGTTTAATTGCTATCCATCTGTTAAAGAGGACACGTGATATCATTATTTGGTTTTATAACCATAAAAATTGGTCCCATAGGTGGGCCCAAAGTGAGGTATTTTTTCAAGTCACATTTATGGTATATGTTAATCATTTATTAAGAAATTAAATGTGTTTTTCTTTAAGGATATTTATTGGGCTTTCAAATAACACCAATATTGTTGGGGCACCATGATTGTGTCAGAAGAAAATCGTTAAAGTTCGCGTCGCGGAAGGTGCGGTTTATTTGATGTTGAGTATTTTTCTTTTGTTAATTATTCTAGATGTGGGGTATTGGTCCAGAAGCCATAAGTTCTGTGTGACAGCATAATAGATTTGTACTCAAGTGTCATTTAAGGGATATGAGCTCTGCTCAGCCATTTCCACTGACGCTGAGCGGAGACGAAACATGTCATAAAGAACAATTACTTTCTTATTATCGTCTTTTCTCGCCTCATTGCCGCTTTAACAGAAAACAGGCTTTATTCTCTCTCCTGTTCTAAGCTTAAGTGCACCTGTGGCGGCAGGTCCATAAAGTCCAGGAAGGCCAGCTGATCTTCAACTCCTAATGACTTGAGGAGCAGCAAAGTGCGCTATATCTCTGGTACAGTAGCCGCTAGTAATTTGCGTTGGTAATACCGCTGCGTGTAGAGGCAGAATGCCTTAACCTTACCTTTACCTTGTTTGTACGGTGAGAGTTGACTCAATAGTTATCTAGTGGCATCTGCAAGAGGATCATGTAGCTGAAAATGGGGAGAAGTATGCTGACCTGTGGTGGCGGGTCCATAAAGTGAAAAGCCAATAAGTCTTCAACTCCTAATGACTTGAGGAGCAGCACAGTATTAGCCAAATTAGTCCGCTGTATCTCCGGCATAGTCGCAGCTAACAACTCGCGCTGGTTTTGCCGCTGCGTGCACCTTACGCTCCCGATAGTAATTTATTGAGCGGCATGTTTAGGAGGACCATGTAGCTGAAAAGGGCTGTGAAGAAGAAAGATAATGCTTTACCTGTGGTAGTGGGTCCATGAAGTGGAAAGCCAATAAGTCTTCGACTCCTAATGACTTGAGCAGTAGTACAGTATTAGCCAGGTTAGTACGCTGTATCTCCGGTACAGTCGCAGCTAGTAGTTCCCGTTGGTATTGCCACTGTGTGTAGAGACAGAACGCCTTGCCGTGCTTGCCTAAAAAGGAGGAGAAATATACTAACCTGCGGTGGCGGGTCCATAAAGTGAAAAGCCAATAAGTCTTCAACTCCAAGCGACTTTAGCAGCAGTACAGTATTGGCCAAGTTAGTCCGCTGTATCTCCGGCACAGTAGCGGCTAACAACTCGCGCTGGTACTGCCGCTGCGTGTACAGACAGAAAGCCTTGCCCGGGCCCGTTCGGCCCGCACGACCCGCCCTCTGGCGTGCGTTGGCCTGGCTCACTGGGTAAATCTGTGGAAATAGACATGTTGACACCACCAATCAATTGACGTACTTTTTAAAACTGTCAAAACGAAACTCACCCATAGATTTTGTATGGCACTACAAGCAAGTAAAGTCACTATTTTGTCAACTCAATTATACTACTTTTTTCAATTACAATGCGACCAATAATATAATCGTAATTAACAGGTAATTTAAAATTAATTAAGTTCTTAAGACCAGAATGAAGTGTCTTTTTAGAAAAGTTGTGATTAGTCCTAAGGCATTCCCTGGTATCCCCCAGGATTTTGGGGTTAGGTACCTATACCGATTCAAAGACAATCGCACCCCCCGTATCAAGACATAGACCGCAGATTTGCCATGCAGATGTGCCAGTGAGTACTAATCTTCGCGACTTGTGTCACCCCCTGATGCTTTGCACGCCGCTACTGTGGAGAATGTTGTCAAATTGTCCATTGTATAACTTGTAGTCTGTGCCTAAAGATACTGGTCATTTTTCAAATAAAAAAAAATATCAAAACTAATTTTTGGTTACAAAATAAGGATAAGTAGGAGGCTTCGGCAAACTCGACGTTTAAGGTGCAAGTTCGTAGCCGACTCCATACAGCAGCAGCAGACGATGCAACGTGTCGTCGCGACACTATTGTTTTCTATGTATTTCTATGAGATAGCATCCGTTGCTAGCTATACGTCGTCTGAAAGCATTTCATAGAAAAATGTAGAATAGAAAGTAGTGTGTCGCGGCGACATGCGTCTACTGCTGTCGTGTGGAGTCGGCTACGAATTTGCAACATCTTAACGCTATGTAATAATCACGATTAAGCAGATTACATGATCTAGAAATTTTAATGTAGATTTACAAAATTTCAGTTTCTATACGCGCAAACAATACTATGTGAACTGCGAGAGTGATTAAGACCAGAGGAAAGAAATAAAGAGGTAACTTACCTGTAGAGCGTCCATACCAATCCTTGGATTGTACACTTTCAGCTTGCAGTAACCGGAGTCCACCACGTACATGATGCCGTCGACAGTCAGCGACGTTTCTGGAAACAAAAAAACAATTTTAATAAACTTTCTGCGATGTAGCTGTATGCTTGATTTCCAGTAGTACACACAGGAGTTGTTTCCACAGGATTTCCTGACGTCCTCATAAAGGTAGCAGGAAGGCGCTGGATGCAGGCCGCTGCCAACCGAGGCCTATGTTCAGCAGTGGACGTCCTGTCCTGTGTAGCTGAAATGATTATGAGACCTTACCAGCAATGTTGGTAGCCACGATCTTGGCTTGCAGATCAGCTGGTAATTGAGAGTAGATCGAGAGCACCATGAAAAGCGGCGCGCTGTAGACTCTGTATGAAATCTAGTTCAATAAACCAGCTGTAATTCTTACCAACCAGGCGAAGGTCGCGGAAAGGACCTGGATGCGGGCAGCGCAGGATCGGCCATTTTGAAAATCCTTTGGGGAGGCCCTTGTCTAACCGTGAACGATATTTGGCTGAAACGAACGAACTGTTATGAGCCTCTGGGGATTTGGGTTTTTAAAAAAGAACACGAGATTAAAAGGATAAGACAGCCGTCTAGTTCGGATGGTGGAATGAGACTGACTTGGAAATGCGAGGTATCGCAGGCTATGGATGGAAAAGGATGAGTCGGCAAAAGGCGGAATGTCAAGTAAGCAATATAGGGTGCGAGGGCTATCTGTAACAGAACGAACGAACGAAGACCTCACCACTAATGTTGGTAGCCACGATGCACTTCCTCTGGCCAGGTGGAGCTCGCTGGAAGATCTTGGCTTGCAGGTCAGCTGGTAACTGAGAGTAGATCGAGAGCACTATGAAAAGCGGCGCGCTGTAGACTCTGTATGAGATCTAGTTCAATAAACCAGCTGTAATTCTTACCAACCTGGTGAAGGTCGCGGGAAGTACCTGGATGCTGGTAGCGCTGGACCGGTCATTGTGAAAATCCTTGGGGAAGGCCTATGTCCAGCAGTGGACGTCCTGTGGCTTAAATGATGATGATGAGACCTTACCAGCAATGTTGGTAGCCACGATGCACTTCCTCTGGCCAGGTGGAGCTCGCTGGAAGATCTTGGCTTGCAGGTCAGCTGGTAATTGAGAGTATATCGGCAGAACCGTTAGAGGCGGCGCACTGTCCAGGTCTGCTAGACGCTCTGTGAGAACCTGGGGAAGAATTAATAAATAAATGGGCGTTTTACACTGCGCCATTTAGTCTCAAACTAAGCAAAGTTTGTTCTATGGATACTAGACAAAGGATTTGTGAATACATATCTAAACATAGAAAACACGAAGACTAAAGGACGTAGCACATTTATTAATTCGGAAAGAGATCCTAACCGTATCAACTGGAGGCGATCAGTAAGTATTCTTTGTATGAAACTTCACAGTGCAACGTACTTATCCGCACTGTAAGGGCTATATTTCACCGGGACACCATGGCGGCGCAACCAGTCGCCGGCTACCAACAAAATTTATACAGCTCTATAGAGTTACTCACCTGGTGTCCGTTTGGTTGCGCAAAGCTGTATACATTTTGTTGGTAGCGGTGACTGGTTGCGCCGCCATGGTGTCCCGGTGAAATATAGCCGTTAATGTTAATGATAATGATCATGTATTTTAATTTGTTCTTTCGAGGATCGTCGAACCTGCGTCCTTTGGCATAGTAGCCCAGTATCACTATACCAAATAGTCACTATCTATGACCATTTGTATTTCTATTTGACGGCTATAAAGTTTAGTTGTGAAAGACAAAACGCTTATATTATAGAGATGACAAAGGACAATGACCAAAAATGTATGGAGTGTGGTCCAAATGTCCACCACTTACGAGACCTATGTAGTAAAATAGTCTACTAAATACTGATTCATTATAACCAAACCGCAATCAAAAATATGCTGTCAGTAAAAAGTTATGACTGAATGAAAAGTCTGTTTTTACCTTTTCATCCAAAAAATGTTCTTCGTATCATTTTACCCATTGCACATTTTGGACTAATCTACGCATGTTATGTTCATGTCGCATGTGGCGCGGGGTTATAGATGAACTAGCTGTGCCTACGACTTTGTACGCGTGAGAATTGTTAGAATAATGTTTCCCATTTTTACAACATTTGTCTTTACTGCTCCGCCCCTATTGGTTGTTGGGTGATGTTATTTGTCTTAAAACCATCCTTGATAAATGGGCTATCCATAACAAAAAAAAATTTTCAAATCGGACCAGTAGTTCCTGAGATTAGCGCGTAAATTACTACATTTTTTCAAACAGTCATAACTTTTTACTGACAGCTTATTTTTTTTCGTCCCATACTGAAAGTTAATCTCTATTTAATGGACTATAAGCCAATATAGGTCTCATTGGTGGTGGACATTTGGACCACTTTTGGTCATTGTCCTTTGTAGATCAAACAAATTGCTATGCAAAATCAGAAAGGAGAAAAATTATGTACTAAAAAGGAAGCCGTATTCGTTTCCCATTGTTAGTCCTTGCTAGGTTTAATGACGTGTTAACAAATGAGGTTCTTACTTACCTCACAAGTAACTTCAATATCTTCTTGACCAGGCATGAAGATTAGGATGTCTCCTTCGTCAGGCTGTAGATGAATCTGCAGAGCCTGAAACAAGAATGTTAATGTTAAACAGTGCCGTAACTAGGGCGGTGCCAGCGGTGCCCAGGCACAGGGCACAGGGCGCAGACCCTGGAGGGGCGCAGAAATGACCAGACCAGTATCTAGTTTTGTATCATGCACGCTCTGCACCCCCCCCGTAGAAGGTTACTTTTTATTCAAAAAGGTTACATTTTTTTATATTTCTCGCACCGGGCGCATAAAAGGCTAGTTACGGCACTGATGTTAAAAAGAAATGCATAAAAAAGCGCAGATAATAACAGTTCTCGCTTCTCTCTAATTCGCTTCCACCTTGCTTCGGCCTAATCGTAACTTACAATCAGGTGAGATACAGGCCAAGAGCTTCCTCGTTGTGAATAAAAAAAAAGTTTTAAGTCGCATTAAACTCATAACAGATCTAGTCTCTAGAATTCAAAAAGTTGAACGAACTCGATGGACGCTCGTCTTATGATAGATTCTTTGATACGAATAAAAATTGCTTTGCGTAATTTTTTTCCCAAATTGGTAACGTCTAATAAAATACTCATCAGTTAAGAATAATCGTCTCAGAGGTCCTATAAAAAGATATGATCTAGTGGTTAAAACCCTCACGAAAAAAAAATACAAATTAACTTTATTCGCTAAAAAATGAGTGTGACAGGGCATAAAGACTTTTAAAGACGATGTTTTGGACAATGTTAACACACAGGTACCTACATGACACAGGTGGATGAGTCAGTATATAACCAGCTATTATTGCGAAAACACTATTGCCTTGATTCGAGCCTAAGCTTATAAGATTCTGCATTAAACCAGTTCATATTTGCTATGATGCACGTACCTGCAACCTTATTTGAAGCTATCTTTATCCAAATAGCAATCACTGATCTAAACATATAAGATAAACATCTATTGCGTAGTTTGACGTCAATGTACTTAAGAAATGAGATAAGAGACGATGCTGTGCGAATCGTGAATGGGAGAAAAGTTCTAAGAGATATGGAATTCACTGATTTTTAGTGTAAACTGACAACTAGCTATGTCAGCTGCTTAAATCTCAAAAATATTTTGTAAAGTATACGTCTCAAAATACAAGATAATATTACTGACCATCGACCCACCATAACCAATAACAAATTATACCTATTGCAGGGATTAATTTTAAAATCGCTATAAAAACGTTTTTTTATTTTTTCAATTTAAATCATTTATTTACTCAGACGTGGTACAATTTCTCCCTATATGACATAAATTAAATTCCGCATGTATTATTTGAAAAAGCATAAACACCTAAGTGCTGTAGAGGAACGTGACTGTAGTCTACAGACTGCAACAATGTCATAAGTAAATAAATAAAATGTATTCTTCTTTTCGTCATGTTAAACATAATAACTTTGAACTTGTGTATAGAATTCCAACAAACAGAATCCATTTGCATTTAGAACGAGCGATAAATGCATATTTGACGTCAAGAAAAGTCTGCGTATCGAGTTAATAAAGTTGAGGTCAGAGAGGACATCCCTGAGGCAGTCCTCAAGGTCAAACGTTCGAGAACTTGAAGCTTTGAAGACTGTTTACTATAGTAAATAACTCAGTCGAATTCAATTTCACAAGTTTGTTCAATTTATCAAATAAGATGAAAGTTGCGGGGAGGCGACGTTGACAGATTTTATTACTGTCAGAGGCTTCAGTAAAATCACAAACACGATTAAAGCTACTTCTGAAACAAACGACAATGACTGGAATATAAACAACTTATCTTTCATTGTTGTAGTTTACGACTCATAAGTTTTATAGTTTTTTTTGTTCAAATTGGTAAGAAGGTAGGTTAATTTGACATCTAACTACATAGATTGTGTGAAGAAAATTTCTGTATAGACTAACTTTACATTGTTTCTGAGGCTTTTATGTGGTGATTAGCCCGCTCCGAATTAGCCGGATTGATAGAGTCAAACCTACATTCCACGACTTTGAGGTCAATTACTTTACAGCACCATCATAGGTGTGTTATGTTAATTAAAGCTAATTACTTTACACCACTATTATAATAACCACTATTTATGGCCACCAGACGCTGATTAGTGAAAGAGGGTTACATGTTAAAGGTCGTCAATGGGATGTTCAGTTCACAGCGTGTGCTTACCACGGTTCTGTTTATTTAATTATGAGTTAGAGACAAAACAGTAGACTCTATCATTTAGAAATTGTGTCTCAAATTAGGGTTACGTATATTCTATTTTATGGAGCATAATGTAAAGTTAGATTTTCAGGTTCGAAGATCATAACTTCTTACAGCAACACACGTATCATCATTCCACTTTCTTGGGAACTGCGAAATAATTATGGCAAACATAGTGGGCGTTCTGCATCTTTTCTATGTAGGTATTCTAGATTATCTTTTTCTCCGATAGCTACACCAATATTTTATTTCTATAACTGGTTCATTTCGCTCATAAATCGCAAGTTTTTAGTGCATCTTAAAACGCTGTTCCTTTGCGATATAGCATCATGGACCTAATATAAAGTATGGTAGTATAGACCATGGTACGCGTGATAGACCCTTCTTTTCCTAATTTGCGTACATAATAATCAAATTGGTATGCACAATCATCTCGATTTCATCGGACGTGGGATCTTTCTATAGACCATTGTTTACAAATCTGGCCCGGCCGGTTTGTATAACATTTACCATGAACTGGGGTAATCTAGAATTATCGTGCGCCACTTACATTGTTTGGATTCATTTGCAAACATGTTGCTTAAACAAGTATATTGAACAAGTTTTTTATTTGTAATTTGCTCACGGTTCGTTTAGAACTTTATAGAAGTTCTTGAGGATAAATTAAGAAATGCAATTTGAAACAATAAAAAAAAGAGTCGGTAAGGGGAATGCAGAATTTTAGATCAGTGACAAAAATCTTAAATAAACCAGGCACAGTAATCAAAAAATCATAAGGAGAAGAATATTGTAACATGAATAATGTAATTTATTAATTTTGTTTCTGAAGTGACACAATGATGTAGAGTTATCATTTTTCGAATAAAACTGTAGGTTTAATTGAAACGAAAGTGCTAATTATTTCACTAGAATTCATAAAACTGTAAATATTTTAGATCAACACGAGTTTCACGACTATTCGCGATTATTGTAGTTGAAATTATTAAAAGCGCCTGTATTTTCAGGATGTGCGTTTCTAGAACGTTTCGATCGGATATTGCGCGTTCCACGCATTGTGTGCAAATACAATTAGGTGTGCGTAGGCAACTACAAGAATATTAATTAAAACGAGTGTTTTATTACTATGCAGACGAACAATTTACGTCTGTGGGTGGTCTGTATTATCAATCGTAATTTGTACATTTTTGAAATTATACCCTGAACTTATGCCCTAATTAATTAAATTTACACCCTAGTTGAACTCTGGTTTAAATTGTCATTTAGTATGGAAATGTCATTTTAATCCAAGGCTAGACAGAGACAGTCATGGGTACTGCACTACATACATTTCTTTGAGCGCCCCCCCTGGCTAACTTTTATTCTCAAAGGTTTAAAAGTTCTAAAATGTTATTGTATTTCCTGTTTTTAAGGGTTTGTTAGTAGTTGGTTAGCTTTTAAAAAATGTTATTGCCGACTTAACATTTGTTACCAAAACAAAACAAATACAAAATACGTTCATAAACCTGGATCGACTGTGCTCATTCAAGAACCCCAAACTTGGGCTTGCCGGTCATCGAACGTCGTACAACCCACCAAGTCAGGTGGTAATGTGCACCTTATTGGGGCGGCTTAAGGGCTACATTACGAATCATTGCCAATTGTAGCCGAGGTAATTTAATTAGTGGCAGTGAACGCAGTTGCAAACACGCCGCGCCTACCCATTTGTTAGATCGAGGTGGTGGGCCGGGCTATGCAAGATAGATACAACACGCCAAGTAAGTATTTGACTGCAATCGCACCTGCAGACACAGGATACTAGCTGAGATATTGCTCAATGTCGATATAAGTTCAACATACAATTGCAAGCTAGCGAGATGAGTAGATGTACGTACCGCATACCGCTATCATTAAAAATAGACTGAAAAAACTTTGTGCATTTTAAGGTGGAACTTACCTGCCCGTAAATGCCTATTCACTCTCGCCTTGAAGAGGCTCGGATCTTGGTGATAGATTAGTAACACCTTAATGCCTATTGAGCAGTATTTAGTTAGGATTTATCCTAAGACGAACATAGTTTATAAACTATGTTCGGCTCAATATTCCTAAATAAAATACGTTATATTTATGTAACATCAAAATAAACTAAAAGTAAATAACAGCTATTTGATGGTAAAGAATAAACAAAATGCACTAGACAGTGACTCAGTCAACGCCTGAAATTGTCTGTGTGTGGGCAACTGGGCATGTCGCGTGTGGGCTGTACGATCAATTAAAAGGCGGATATAGTCTTAATTAACTTTTAAAACCCTTATGAGTAATTTACAAGTCCTTTAAAGAAATATTGATATACTGAGAAAGAATCGCTTGGCTGGTCTGCGATCAGATATAATGCCTCGTGTCATATTATGCCAAGCTTATACGCTTAGTGCAGAGTATACTTTTTTTACTTTACATTTTTTTCTTCATGTCGGCTGCTTCTGCGTTGCATAAACCGGACCACGGACAACTTGTCCCATTAGTGGTTCTAATGGCGTGGCGTAGATCAATCGCAAAAGCGCTATTTATCACACCATTTAATTACTAGGCTGCTATAGTTATAACTTACACCAGTTGCACAGTTGCATACATTCTTTTAAAATGCAACAGGTCTCCACAATTTCAGTTGTTTAGAAAAAAAGCAGGTACATACGTATGATACGTCAATGTTTAATAATATATCAGAAACAACCAAAAAATCGGAGTGTGGAAATGGAATAGTCATAGTTCGACATTTTCAGCAACTTTAGGGCAATGCACGAAAGTTTTTCTATGTTGAACCGAAACACTCGATTTTACTTTTAGTTTTGCTAGTCTGTTAGTAAATACTAATTTTGTTCAATTATTATGCCCCGCATAGTCACGGTAGTGTAGTTTTTTATGTTTTAAGTTTTACATATTAAGTACCCCGCATAAAAAAATACTTTCAGCGCGATAAACTTAGAACAAAAAATAATTAAACACAAAAGATAAATTACTATAACTCGTGTGTCTAGCTTAGTCGTGTGTCTAGCTCTTGATACAATAGATGTAGATAATTTCAACTACCATTATTTAGGATCGTATTAGACGATAATTAATATCAACGACCCATGCATGTCTTTTAACAAACGTGTAAATGCATACCGGTTACCGTAAAGTTACTGTTAAAGTTAGGTGGTGCAACTCAGCCAAAGAGTTCGTTCAACTTATGATAAAAAAACAATGCCAACGTTCAAAAATTGAATTTATCTTTCGTTTAATCAAGGCTCATAAACACGCAAAGGCGACGACAGGCGGAATGCTTTTTTGCATAAATCTGACGTGTAATCAAACGATTTATGAACTTTTTATTTCGCTGAATTTGTCTTCCCCTCGGGCTCGAACAGGTTAATAAATTATTTGTAAATATGATGACTAAACGAACTTCTAAATTAAGTCGAATTGTCTTGGAGAGTCCAAGATCAGCTGGAGGGTTCTCGCTTTTATTAATAAGTAAATAACTATAAAAAAGATATCACAAAATAATGACATGGACGTCTAAAGGGCGTGCAAGCATCATTTCATCCAAATGACGTCCACTGCTTGACAAAGGACTACCCCAATGAATTCCACAAATACCAATTCAGCATTGCTCGCATCCAGGAGCTTCGCGCGATCCTTACCAGATGATCTATTGGGATGCCTGCCAACAATAAGTCCGTGGTCGCTACTCGAGAACTTTTCTGCCCGAAACATTGAGGTATAATGTACGCTAGTACATTATTTACACCACAATGACCCCAAAGCAACACAATGCAAGGATGACTGACGCCCGTATTCACTAACATCACTATGAGGTCTCACAATGCTGGTTGACGCACAGAGTCACACACGAATCAATCATGGAGCTCTATTCAACGCTACTTATCTTCACTTATGGAAGCATCGTTTGTGATAACGGGCGTACGAAAACAAAAGACAGACGAGTAACATGAGAACGCATAAAAAAATGTCATCCAAAAAAGGATGCATTTTACGTTGTTACATTTACAATTACAGTTCACCACGTTTGCAACGGGTCGTCGACCCATGCAGTTCCCGCTTGCGGCAAGAATGTGCCGATTAGTTTCGTAATCCAGAGCCGATATCGATAAACAAGTAACATGCAAATCGATGTTAATTGGCAAATCTTTCGTTTCGTTCAAAGGTTGGTCAATGTAATCTATTTGTTACATTTTCGTGGCTATTGCTGAACCATCTTTAATGATTTTCGGTATTATCAGCCAAAAAAAAAACCATAAAGAGCTGAAATAAGACGAGATAAAAGTTTGGTCGTTATGGAAATCCTTCGAGGAGGCCTTTGTCCAGCAGTGGACGTCATTTGGCTGCAATGAACGATCGAACGAACAATTTGCCCTGGTAAAACGCATCATTTCTCAAACCAAGTGTCCAAGGATATTTATTTCTCGATTTAGTTAAGTGATACGTATATGCTATAAGCCTACTTATTGTGTGATATATTGTGTAGCTAAGTATAAAAAGAAACAAGTCATTACAGATATAGTTAAGCATTTATTTTCTTTTTTTCTCCTTCGCACTTAAAAATACTAATTTAATTTAATGTTATTGCAGTTTGCAACAGGAAACATGCCGCATTACCGTTTAAGCGATTATTGTAAATGCCCACTTGATTGTTCCTAAAACGCGCGTTTATTATATGGAACCGTTTCTAATTAAATTAGGGTTGCCACATCGTCAGTCGACAAATAGATTTAAATTCAGCGCAAACGTTTCATTAAAAAAAAATAATTGTCGCTCGAAAAACATCAGCCAATCGAATTCGCAACAAAATACAAAGGAATTGGTTTTATGAAGTGGTCCCGGCTTTGCTTTAAATAAAAATAACATAAAGAAAAAAAAATTAAGTAAATAAAAATAAAAAACGCATACCTAATGAACGCTTTGTATATTGCGTTCTTTCATAGTAATAAAAACCGGCCAAGTGCGAGTCGGGCTCGCGCACAAAGGGTTCCGTAGCAGCAAATATAATAAACTTATTATGTCAATTTAATCAACCTATCTCAAAAACTATAAGAGATACTTTGATCAAACCAAAAATCGTTGAAAGAGTTAATTAGCATGCATCACCTCTATTTTTTTTAGAATTTTATACCCCGTAGTTATAAAAATAGAGGGGGGGGGACATACTTTTTACGACTTTGAGAGCTGATATCTCAAAAACCGTTCACTTTAAGAAAAATGTTTTTTAGAAAACTTTATATCATTTTAAAAGACCTTTCCATTGATACCCCACACGGGTATGTACATCGAAAAAAAATTTTCATCCCTCAGTTACATGTATGGGGGGCCCCACCCCCAATTCTTTTTTTTACTATTTAGTGTCATAATTTTGTAGCGGTTCATACAACACATATTCCCATCAAATTTCATCACTGTAGTACTTATAGTTTCCGAGTAAATCGGCTGTGACAGACGGACAGACGGACAGACGGACAGACGGACAGACGGACAGACGGACAGACGGACAGACGGACATGACGAAACTATAAGGGTTCCGTTTTTGCCATTTTGGCTACGGAACCCTAAAAACAGACTTGTTATGCATGAATGTGTGAACACAAACACAATTTTACACACAAATATTAAGAGGCAAAGCTACATTTAAGATTGTAATTTGTAATTGTAATAATCGCAGGAATGTTTCTACAAAACAGCGAGCCGTTCGAAATCGTGAGCGTTTTGCATTAATTAACAACGCTATGAATACGCATGTAAATGCACTAAACCAAACATTAACACATTACTACTATGTTTGTTTTAATTTTAAGTAACTAAAAGATATTTTTTTTTTAGCTTAATAATAATCTAACAAAAATATATTTGTGTGTATGGAAATGTCTACAATAAGATCTTCGGCTAAGTTCGGGTGGGACACGTTCACACACAAAAGGTATAATATAATTTAACTACATTTAAAAAAAAACTTAAATTTTCTATGATTCAGTGTACATACACACAATAAAGTTTTACTATCCATGACGGTTTCACAGATTTAACCCGGTAGTAAACACATAGAAAGGGTCTATTCAGGATAGAAATATCTTGATGTCAATTACATACCGAATTTCAGCTATATCTTTGGACAGACCGAAATTCAACACAGTTTAACAGTCCCGTCCACGTAGTCTTCACATTCTTCGCGAAGAAAGTGTCTACAGTGGGGATATTTCCGAAGAACGCTGAGAACTTGGACGAGTCCATAGTCGCTGACGTCACGATCAGCTTCAGGGGGGACTACTCCGAAAAACGTTGTCAGAACTTTCGAATGTTGCCATCACTCTCACGCAAAGCGAGATGCCAGCATGAGCGTAGGTGACAAATAGACTCGAAACTACATAAACAGCGTTTCGGAATAGACCTGCAGGTCCGAGCTAGCTAGTGATGGATCAAGACTTACCTGTTTAACAGCCCCATCCACGTAGTCCTCGCAGACATTCTTCGCGAAGAACGTCTCTACAGGGAAGGTCCGCCCCGGGATGGTGAAGGTGGGGACATTTCCAAAGAACGCTGAGAACTTGGACGAGTCCATGGTAGCTGACGTCACGATCAGCTTCAGGTCCGAGCGACGGGCCACCACCTGTTGGACAAAAAAAGATCAATTATTTATATTGTATTGCACATCACTTAAAAGCTCCATGTGTCTTGACAGGCATACCAGTGGTAGACTTTTCGAAAAAAAAAAAAAGCATTTTTCGCCTCATCTAGACAGACCTTCGTCTGTCGTCTTCGTCCGCTGATGGAGAAAGACCTTCCCAAATGATTTCCACGAGTCTTGCGCTGCCCGCATTCGCAGGCGTTTCCTACCCTCATTCAGGTTTTTAGATGCATTAAAGATTACATTTTCGATATCTTGCATAGTTTAGATAAGTGAGATCACTTGTATTATGAAATATTTTACAGACGGTTATCATAAGAGTTAAAAGGAAAAGTGTGGAAAAACATGACGACAAAACGATCTTTGATCGCTAACGTTACCAGTAAAACAAGTACTAAACAACGCCCTGCATTACGTGCCCACTATAAAACGATTTCCAATCAACATTATCCTGTTACTGGGCCCAACAAAAACTGTTGTTTTTAATTGAAATCTATTTTCTAATCTGGTTTACCTGTCTAGACCGATTGTTATTCATAACACTAGCGATTATGGCGCAGAACAATTTAACGGTCGGTTGGGCGCAGGAGTCGCCTTGCGCATAAACGACGCAAAAACTACTAAGCTATTTGCGGATACTTGCCTAACAATGTGATGCATAAAAAGTGCATCTACAATGTGAAGAAGTACGTGTTTTAAAGACCACTGTTAAATAAAAGCCTTGCCAAGCCGCGTAGTAGATTCTTTGTAATAACTGAAGTTAATGTCTGGAGTGATTTACACTTCATGATCATAGTCTTCTTTTCTATTGAAAATGAATAGAATAGAAGACCGTGATGTAGCTAATAAAATTACAACAAAGTTGGCATTTTTAACCTTTATAATGTTCGCGGCCACTGTAATCTAAATAAACCATTCAAATCTATTGGGAAGCTGTAAATACGAGCTAAAAGAACAATCCTTCTCTACACACAGTAATATCAAAATTAAGTCAATTTCTTATTGCAGGAAAAGGCTTATTAATTAACATAATAACAATGATCATGGTTTGATTTAAATGTAAACACCATCCGCATAGAGAAAGTGTGCAATGCGTTCGGATATAAGTGGGATGAATGGTAGCTCGTAGATCAATGCCGTGTACGTACAGTCAGATGCACCTGAAAGTCCATACTCTATCTTAGGGTTTCTGATTTCTCGACCTATTTTTTTTCTCGACTTTCGAGAATTCTCGAGGCCAAAGTCTCGAGTTTTCTCGGGTCTCGAGTCTTTTAATGAAAACTGCTGAAATCGGTTGAAATTTGATAAAAACACAGGTTTTTTTAATCTCATATACCTACTTTTATGCACAACAATCAATATTAGAATTTTGTACCACTTATTTTGGTAAGGAAATAAACAAAAAATAAAATCTTCTTTCATAATTAATATTTACCAATAATCATAACAAAAGTCATAAAGTCGCCTGTACTTTAAGGATAAATAACAATAAAAATCTGGAGCTACAATTGAATCGCTTGTTTTTTAAAGAACACAAGTCCAAGTAGCAAAATTACGATAAATAGTTTTTTTTATGAACAAAAAAAAAACTTTTTAATATTTTTTTTATTTTTTTACATATTATAACGAATTGAATAAACTTTACGAGGAAGCACGAGTACCTAACCTAACGTCTGTTAGGTAAGGTAACTGTCTAATTAACAATTTTTTCAGTCTTTAAATCAGTCACATTAAACATACATGTAATAAATATAGCATACTCGTTAGTGAACATTATTACTTAGTTTCAATTAAGATCATTACTTGCTCAATCAAATCAGTTAAAAAAAGAAAGAATGGGCCAGTCTAAAAGCAACGTTGACCTATTAAATAATTAAAAACTTACTTTTGTCTAAGAAAATAGGCTTTCAAGAATATTAAAGCTTCAAAATTGAAACTCGAGAATTCTCGAGCTTCGGTAATTTTATTCTCGTCTCGAATGAAGCCAAATTTCTCGAGTTTTCTCGAGTTCGAGAAAGCTCGAGCAGAAACCCTACTCTATCTATACCGACGGTCAATTTAACTTCTTTTGTTTATTGATCAATAGGTACCTACTCTTTAAAGCAAGACATTCATGGTTAGTTTTTGGATGCACATTAGTTCATCTAATCAGTATAATGGAACAGTTTAATCTGTAATCAGTCGTTTCAGCCAAAAGACGTCCACTGCTGGACAAAGGCCTCCCCCAAGGATTTCCACAGACCGGTCCTGCGCCGCTCGCATCCAGGCACCTCCCGCGACCTTCACCAGATCGTCGGTCCACCTAGTGGGAAGCCTGCCCACGCTACGTCTTCCGGCTCGTGGTCGCCACTCAAGAACTTTCCTGCCCCAGCGGCCATCAGCTCTACGAGCTATATGCCCCGCTCACTGCCACTTGATTTTAGCGATTCTGCGGGCTATGTCAGTCACTCTGGTTCTCCTACGGATCTCCTCATTTCTGATTCGATCACGCAGGGAAACTCCGAGCATAGCACGCTCCATCGCCCTTTGGGTGACCTTGAGCCTGTAATCAGTACTAATCCTGAATGTAGAGAGATGTTTATTTGTTCCAATGTGAAGTTAGACAATTTTTTGCAAGTTCATAAGGTTCAACGTCAAAATGGTAATGTGGCTTGGACTTTATGCAGCTGATTGTATAGTGGATAGATATTAATGTATTGTACAGTCGGCGTCTACTTTCAAAATGCACCGGTCCTGCCCACACGCTCCTGTGGAAAGCGCTGGTTTAATGTACTCTATGATCTTATAAAGTCACTTTAAACGAGGTTATAAAATATTATTGAACAGGAATGTTGACGATAAAAAATCATCTGCTTTTCACATTTCAATTCGGGTTTATTTGCACTACACTTTTCTTCTAAAAATTCAATTTTCAAACCTCAATGTTATATGGAAGTTATGAATGTAAATGAATGCCGAAAGTATCATATTGCTTTTTGAAAGAGCTATTGATGTGTGATCACTTATTTGACTCTATCAAGTCTTTCGTCGGTTAAATAGATAATGATTTGATACTCAAAAGCTTGTAAAAACACGAGCTCGCATTTGCGCGTAAAAAAAGTATTCAGGAAACCATACAAAATAGTTTTGAAAAGATTATGGAGTAGCTAGTTATTTTCTTGATAGGTACCTACATGATAATAAATTGAAAATACGGCTGACTGGGCATTTGAATACATTGTCTCATCATAAAGCATAAGAAAGTTGTGTCCAATGGCTCTGAAAATTGGATCGTTTTTATATTGCGTTACATTGTTATAGTATCAGTAGGAGATTAATAACATATTGGAGGATATTAACTGTTCAGATAGCCATAAAGTCAATCATATTGTATGTTTATTTATTGTAACAGATCTATAAAACTATTTTTTGTAAAAACAGCAAGTAACTCTCAAGAAGCTTGTTGGCGACATCAAACCTTTTTATATGTATTTTTTACTTTTTATACTTTTTTTCTATTTCTATTGTTTTTGATACGTCTTGTGGACTTACGATATAAAAAAGTGAATGAATACACGGTTTTTGTTATGTCGTAAAGTTTCGTGTTTGCTTTAAAGTAGCTTCTTATTCCCATACACACGAGGCTCACACATAGGTTTCACAGTGAAATCCACAACAAATCCACAACAAAGCTAATTAATTCGCCTGAAATTAAATATAGCACGTATTGCGCGATTATTTTAGTGCTAGACGAATTTGACGTCAAGGCCCTTTTAATTACTAAACAATATTATTAATTCAAAGATTCCTTTTATACGTTTTATTATATCTAACAATAAGCTTTCTCGTCAAAACACCCACGCCTATTAATAGTCAGGATACAAAAATAGCTAACGACAAAATAACTGAAAATACTTTCTCCCATACATATTGGACTCAATATATTGACGTCATAGTTTCGGGTGAGGGACACAATCGGAATAGCAGAGGCGATAACATTACAGTCTAGACAGATAGCATTTTTATAGATGTCGGGACACTTAGTCGGGATTAGGGCATGAATATCGGAATCTCGGAATCTCGTAATATCGGAATCTCGGACTGCGAGATCCGATATTTCAATTCCGATATTGAGCGACCCAATATCGTAATATCGGAATCAGATAAAAGTTTTAATTGAGGTTTTAAACAAAGCGTTTAAACTCGCCACAACCTGCCACAAAGCCCAAAGTACATGATTGGCAAAGACCAATGATTTTCTCATGTCTCTCACCATCACTTTTTGTTCCACTGCAAATATTTTAATATCTTTACTATTTATGGTTAATTTAACTTGTTCCAAATCAATTTTAGCATTTGCCATAGGTACGTGGTCAACAAAGAACGACATCTCAACTCCCTTTCAAACATTAATTTTACTGGACTATGGACCGCCAGTTCTGCGTACTATGTGTCCTGCCCATTGCCACTTCAGCTTGCTAATCCGTCGGCATGCTATGTCAGCGACCTTAGTTTACGGAGCTCTATCATTTCTGATTAGATCTCGTAAAGAAACACCAATCTTATCCCTGTCCATAGCACGTTGTGCCCTATATTCAAAGGCCACGTTTTCGAGCCGTATACAGTGTGAGTCACGTTAAAGTGTACATATGAAAAAAGATGAAACTAAACCTATTTTTATCGACAAAAAAGAGGTCAAAAAATTTTTGAGATTTTTTTTTAATTTTTTATAGAATTTTTTTTCTTCCAATTACTTATTGTAAAGAAAACGTAATAACTTTTAAACTAAGCGGTAAATCCTGATAAAATAAAAACAGTAATAATGTTAAATAATAGGCGATACTAAAAAAAATATATAAAATACACAAAAAAGGCCAACAAATAATAAAAAAATATACTTTTTGAAAAAAATCTGCTTTGAAATTCGTGTTTTTTTGGTTTTTGATAAATTTCTCCAAAAAATGCCCCTATAACCGGTAATTTTTATCACTTTGTATTATTTT